CTTCCGCGCGGTTTCACACGCTCTGCTTAGCTCCTATTGGACGTAGCGTGATGTTTTATAGCCTATACCCATCCTCGATAAATGCGCTATCCAACACAAAAATCATTATTCAAATCAGACTTGTAGTTACGGAGATTAGCGCGTTCAAACGAACAAAAAAAAAACAAACTTTTCCGCTTTAAATAAAAAGCTATAAGATAAGCCGGTAAACGAGCTAACGGATCATCTGTAAGCAATCGGCGTCGTCCATTGACACCTGCAACAATAGAGGCGTTGTTACAATTGCGTTACTGGCCTTTTGGGGATTAGGAATTTGAGGAATGTCGGAGAATCAGTAATTGGGGAAAGGGGGGAGGGAATTGAGCCTCCGGTAACCTCACTCACATGACGAAACACAACGCAAGCATTGTTTTACGTCGGTTTTCTGTGAGGTTGTGGAATCACTCCCATTCGCGCCGAAGCATGGCGCTCCCACACTTAAAAGTCAGGAATTCTATAGAATTAATGTCAAAAATCGATCTTATTCTAAAGATATTGGTTTTTGATTTGGTTATTGAAATTGGCAATAAGAAACTTTGGTTATTGAAATTGGAAAGAAGAATTGAATGGACAGCAGCGCTTTGCTTAGCTACGAGTAACTTAAGCAACGTCTTATATACGACTGGCAACAAGGTATTTAGCTCGCCCTACAACGTGAATACGAGGTATGTAGCTCGTACTAAGACATGGCTGTGAGGTGTATAGCTCGAGCTAAGATGTGGCTTCGAGGTGTTATCTTGAGCTATGATATGGCTACGAGGTATTAGCTCGAGCTAAGATGTGGCTACGAGGTATTGGCTTGAGCTACGATGTGGCTACGAGGTATTAGCTCGAGCTACGATGTGGCTACGAGGTATAAGCTCGAGTTACGATGTGGCTACGAGGTATTAGCTCGAGCTACGATGTGGCTACGAGGTATAAGCTCGAGTTACGATGTGGCTACGAGGTATTAGCTCGAGCTACGATGTGGCTACGAGGTATAAGCTCGAGTTACGATGTGGCTACGAGGTATTAGCTCGAGCTACGATGTGGCTACGAGGTATAAGCTCGAGCTACGATGTGGCTACGAGGTATTAGCTCGAGTTACGATGTGGCTACGAGGTATAAGCTCGAGCTACGATGTGGCTACGAGGTATAAGCTCGAGTTACGATGTGGCTACGACATATTAGCTCGAGCTACGATGTGGTTACGACGTATTAGCTCGAGCTACGATGTGGCTACGAGGTACTAGCTCGAGCTACGATGTGGCTACGACGTATTAGCTCGAGCTACGATGAAGCTACGAGGTATGACGCTCGCACTACGACTTGGTTACGTGTTTAGCTACGATACTTAGCTTTTATACCGATAAAGTTATAATGATCTACGTCGCGTCTTGTAAGGATGACTGTTATGTTATGAGTCCGATGTTAAAAAAGTTATTCCCGTGAACCATCATAGTCATCTATGCTATTATTTTATCGCTAGCTTCTGCCAGTGGCTTGTTCCAAATTTCATTACGATCTTTTCAGCCGTTTTGACGTTATTACGTAACAAACACACGCACACACATACATTCTCAAAATTGTTCAAGTAGGATTTATATCGGTAAACAAACTTACTTTCAGATTTATAATATTAATAAGGATTTTTAAGCAGGATGATAACTTTTAAAAATGGAAAAATCATATGATCCTTTACCCAACTCAAGAATCAAATCGCTTGCAAGCCAATCTATTAGGAGAAAATATGGTGTCAGAATGTTATCCTAATGTCAACAGAAGTCGCGGAGAACCTAACGGGTTGCCGGGGCTCCGGCTTGAAGCGCAGGAGAAGGAACGGGGTGGTTTTTAGTCAGTAAGAGTCTGACACTCCCTCCCGCCTCACCCAGGCGGGAGCGGTCATTCGATGATTTTCCCCCCTTAAACTGTGAAACACCGCGAGGACACCGGTGACCGCAACCTATTGTTCTTTAATTGTGTCTATAATGACGGTACTCAAAGGGTTAAAAAAATGTCAACAGAAGCAAATAGAATATTATCTACAACAAAAATAAAATAGCTACATGACTACGGCGTTTCTTTAAGGTGGAAAAATCGTTGAATGTCTGCTCCCGCCTGGGTTAGGCGGGAGGTATGACTATGGCGTAGTCTCAATAAGTCAATGGCTACGACTACTTACACCGGCACGGCGCAGCCAATAAAAAAAGCCAAATGTCAACAATTCAAGTACTGCTTGTACTGCCCTTGGCAAGTCTAGCTTACCTAATCTTTGGTCATACATCGATCGATACAATTGTCATTGAAATAGAATATTTTGAAAATGTCAAGAAACTATTGATGAAAAAATATCTCTATTGTAATTATCATCCTTTTCTAAAAAAAACTAAGCTAGAAAGTTTATAGATTTATTGAAGGCTGTATTATTATAAATATTTGAAGCTTATTTTGTAAGCTGGCAACATTGCTTGGGGTGAGTTTAGTGATGTGAATAAAACAACTGTTTTTTTTAAGCAGTCACAACGGTTAAAAACTCAATTACAGTCACTGACATATTTACAACAATAACATAACATAACATAACATGACATCACGCCTATTATCCTCGGAGGGGTAGGCAGAGGTGCACATTACGGCACTTAAATATCACTGTACAATGTAACACTCCCTTTTCACTATTTATGTTACGAGTCTCATGTAATAGGGGGAGAGCTTATTTACAACAATTAAAGATGAAATTATAACTAACTAGCGACCCGCCCCGGCTTCGCACGGGTGTAATATGCATGGATTGTACATATAAACTTTCCTTAAGAATCACTCTATCTATTCAAAAAACCGCATTAAAATCTGTTGCGTCGTTTTAAAGATCTAAGCATAGTTACATAAGAATACACAGACGGCGGATAACGACTTTGTTTTATAACATGTAGTGATACAAAACATAAACATTACATATAACGAAAAAAAGACAAGTAAAACTTAATTAAAACAGGAATTAACAGCATTCATAGCACTTTAAATGATGTGGACGAATACAGGCTGATGATGATGATGATGATGATAGCACTTTAAAGTAGCAGTTATTTTTTAGGCTTTGGCTCAAAGGGCAGGAGCAGGAACGGGGTGGTTTTTATTCAGTAAGAGTCTGATACTCCCTCTCGCATCACCCAGGCGGGAGAAGGCATTTGACGACTTTCCTCCCTTTAAAAAAAAACCGCGCGGATGGTGCGGATTGGTGGTGTTGGTGAGAGTGCCGCTGGACCGCGCGGTCGGGCGGTGTATGTGTGTTAGGTATCTACTGATTTAATTAAGGTCAATGCGATATAAGATCCGCTTCACCGTCTACCGTGACGTGACGTGTGTTAATCGCCTAAAGGCTAGTCAGTAATCGACCTAACTGAAAGTCCTTCCTTATACTGGATAATGTAAATTCCTATTATAAACTACATGGTTGGCGCGGTGGCTGGGCAACCGGCTGCCGCGTAGCGTGCAGCGGGTTGGCAGCGGGTGGCGGAGCAAGGAGACACAGAGTTGTGTGATCCACAAATTGTTGTTTCGGGTCTGGGTGTCATGTGTATGTGAACTTGTATGTTTGTAAACGCACACACGACACAGGAGAAAAACCAATTGTAGGGCAAAGTTTAAAAAAAAAACAACTAAACACCATTACGCATCAAATATTTCTTCCTTAATTTTACACACAAAACTTCAACGTAAACGAATAATAACAGTTACCAACGCATAACGCTACGACAACGGAACAAAATCGATAGAACAACCCTAGTATTATAAAAGAGGGGTGAGGTTAAGATGTCGCAACCCCATTCTTAATGCCATAGCAAAATCTACCTTATGAACGATGTAATACGTTACAGAATACTATAGAAACATAGAATTAACTTTACATAACTATATCTAGGTTGTAGGCCATGAAATAATCAGTAACTTTCATAAAAACGATGGAAACAGACGCGTTTTAGGCCGAACGCGTCGCCTCAACCAAGCAAGCTAGCAACAAAAAAAAAAGATTAAAAAAAATGTGTCTCATAACGATTCGCGCGAAAATAATTTGACGTTTTAATTTTTTTCGTGTGTAAAAAGATTTTCTTGTGGAAAATGGAGACGTCTCGTGTGTTTTGTGTGCTACAGTAATGTCCGCGTGTGATTCTTTGGTGAAAAATATTGTGGTGATTAAGAATTAATGGTTATAAGTCTGTGGGATCGTGGATGGACCATTTGATGGTAGGTAAAGAGTAACTTTACACATTTATTTAAAGGTTAAACACTAAAATTATGGATTAGACCATCAGATAATCGCGAAATCCATTGTTTATGATAAGTACATAGGTCAAATTTATTACTATTTATCAATAATTCTTGATATAGTCAACAAATATGGCTTAGAAATCTTATTTACGCTACAAACGATTGTATTTTTTATTTGTAATGGCAGTAAAGGTATGGATAATATGAAAACTTAGCGATCTCTAATGGTAAGATTAATTAATGTCCTTCTGAAACTTGACTTAAATGAAACATTGTAAGCATATAGGTAGCTATTATAACGTTTTAGCTAATCTATACATCTATACAGATAAATAAAATTGAAGTGTCTGTTTGTAATATTAAAATAACCGCTTTTTACTACATGCATATGAATATACATACGGATACACATACGAAAATATAATATTATTTTTTAAATTTTCGTCTGTCTGTCTGTACTGGCTAATCTCTGGAATGGCTGGACGGATTATGACGGGACTTTTATTGGCAGGTAGTTGATGTACCAAGGAAGGACTAACATAGGTTACCCTTTATTTTGAAAAATTGACACAAATAAAAAGTTATGTATGTACTAAAATTAAATTATTTTTAATTTTTATCGTCATCATGAACAGGCCATGACAGTCAACAGTTGGATTATGGACCTCCTCCATAAAAGGATTTTCTATAATCTCAATGCTTGGCAGACACGTCTTTTATCAGAAACTGCATCTGCCCGATGTCTGTTGACTAAGTATCTATTTAAGTGTGGGAGAGCCAGTCGCGGAGAACCTAACGGGTAACCGGGGCTCCGGCTCGACGTGCAGAAGAAGGAACGGGGTGGTTTTTAGTCAGTAAGAGTCTGACACTCCCTTCCGCCTCACCCAGGCGGGAGCAGTCATTCGATGATTTTCCCCCCTTAAAAAAAAAAAAAAAAAAAAAAAAGTGTGGGAGAGCCATGCTTCGGCACGAATGGGCCGGCTCGACCAGAGTGATACCATGGCCTCACAGAAAACCCACGTGAAACAACGCTTATGTTGTTTATGTCGTGTGAGTGAGGTTACCGGAGTCCCAATTACCTCCCCTCCCCAATCTACCTAATCGTCCACAATCCTCAAATTCCCAACTCCCAAAAGGCCGATATCGCCTTGATGTTTCAAGTGTCTATGGGCGGCGCCGATTGCTTACCATCAGGTGATCCGACTGCTCGTTTACCGGCTTTCCGATAAAAAAACCTAGTGCGTAAAGCACAAATAGATAATTGAACAGAATCGCCACCGTACCGTCAATTTGGTTGCTGCGGAGACCGGCCTTCACATTGGGATCAAATAGCCATCAGACCACAGATTGGGCCCAGCAAAACTGTTGCCCGATAAGGAGCTGCAGAAGGCCTAACGGATTACCGGGGCTCCGGCTCGAAGTGCAGGAGTAGGAACGGGATGGTTTTTAGTCAGTAAGAGTCTGACACTCCCTCCCGCCTCACCCAGGCGGGAGAAGTCATTCGATGATTTTCCCACCTTAAAAAAACCGTCAATTTGGTTCGGCGGTTCAGTAGTATTCATTGAAATTGTGCGGCAGACCGCTGTACACACTATCCACATGGTCCAGATCGTACAAAAGTGACGGTTCGGTTCGATAGTGTATCTGTGCTTTATGATACCCGCGGAAAGAGAAGGGGTGGTACCGAGACGAATGTATTCGTCTTTGCTGTCACCATTTGACTTAAAGGAGGAGATATATCTTACTGTGGTTGTGTTTATATGATGTGTCTCGTAAAAATGTTACTGTGTAACATAACATAACATTACGCCTTTTATCCCCGAAGGAGTAGGCAGAGGTGTACACAGAAGTAACACCCACTTTTCACTATTTATGTTATGAGTCCCATGAAATAGGGGGTGAGCCTATTGCTCTATACCGGGTACATTTCCAGACTTCGTGCTACTACTGAGATTTTTTAAACACTCAGTAATACTTTGCCTGACCCGGGAATTGAACCCAAAACCCCATGCCCAGCAGTCGCACTTGCGACCAGTCGGTCAACGAGGGAGTCAGAGCAGACTTTTTTATAATATTCATTTAATCGATACAGAAACATAGCAATTGTTCTTGATTTTCCGAAAAAATCATTCTTCAGCCAGCAACGACTACTATTCGATTTTATCGTCATCACACATCTTAAGCACGTCTTATACATTTCAACCTACCCCTTTAACACGAAGCCTAATAACAACTGGTCCCAGCACTTAAGTCATAAGATTAAACAATAAATCTTCAAGCCAACTTTATAGGTAACGGGGCCCAGTAAATGTATTGAAATTTAAATTTATTCAAAAAACTTTCTTTTTGGGCCCATTCCACGTATTTTAGCGGTATATTAAGATTTTCACGGCCCTTTCAGGATGTAAAATTGTGGCTATAAATGTCCAAGTGACAGATGAGGTTTCGATATTGGTTTATAGAATTTCTAAGGTTGAAATGGTGTCGCGGAGAACCTAACGGGTAACCGGGGCTCCGGCTCGACGTGCAGGAGAAGGAACGGGGTGGTTTTTAGTCAGTCAGAGTCTGACACTCCCTCCCGCCTCACCCAGGCGGGAGCAGTCATTCGATAATTTTCCTCCCTTAAAAAAAAAGGCTGAAATGGTCGTGACGTAAGCAGTCTCAAAGTCAAAGTCAAAGCATTTATTTCAATTAAACCATAATTTTGGTACTGGACTTTGAAACGTCAACAAATACAAAATAAATAATAGTCTGTCAGTTAGTCCGTCATTGAAGCTAGATGAAGCTAGGAGCTCATTCCAAAATGTAGATTCGAATGGAGAAGAACGAGCAAGAAACTCCATTCGTTACTCTTTTAAAAAAGTATGTTCTACAATGTCTCTGATACATTACTGATACTACAATGTCTCGGGTTCGATTCATGCGTTGGGCAAAGTATTGTTAGTTTTGGAAATGTTTTTAGTAACCAGTTTAGGCTTTGTCCGCGTTCCCAGGGGTAAAAAGAAGCCTATGTATTACTTAGCCTATGTACTTATTATTTAGCCTATGTACTTATTATTTAGCCTATGTACTTCTGACGATAATCGACCTCTGTTTCAAATTTCATCCCAGTATCTTCAGCCTTGGATGAGAAGAGCTGAAGACCGAGCTCAGTGGCGTGCCATAGGAGAGGCCTATGTCCAGCAGTGGACGAATACAGGCTGATGATGATGAATGATGAATGATGATGATGAATCTTCAGCCGTTTTGATGGGACTGAGTAACAAACATACATACAAACTAACATATTTAAACATTTATAATATCTGTTCAAGGTAATTTCAACCATCGGCCCTACAGTTACAGCGTAAAGTCTAAAGACAAACTTACATTTGCGTTTGGTACAGTAACTGTGTTTAGGGATTGAGCCGCACAATTAAGTTTGTTTTTTCGTGTCATATACTTTTTCGGGATAAAAAAAATAAATGATACTGTTCGGAAACGTCTCGGACGTCTCGATGACGTCGATGGAGGAGGCACTGGCGGTGGCATCAGAGGGGGGACAGCGCTGCGCGGGGAGCAACATGTACGAGGACGAGGATCGCGGCCCGTTCCTTTTCCACTCGATCAGCTGTGAGCACTGTACGCGTTGCGCGCCGTATATTTGTAAAGGCACACCTACCTTCCGTCGAATAAACCAGTACCTAGACCTTTAATCAGCATCATCATTTATACAGTCCAAAAACTCTCCCTAACAGATACGGAGCCGCGGAAGGCTTAACGGGTTGCCGGGGCTCCGGTTCAAAGAGCGAAACTAGGAACTAATTCGATGATTTTCTCCGCTTAAAAAAAAAGAACTAGTAACACGTGGGTGTTACATTGTATTATGTGCACTTAACTCCAGTTACCCTTTTGGTGATTAAATACATGATATTATGTTATTTTAAAACACGTTGCTTAGCTTTAGGATTTTCTCCAGCGACATGGGTGGTTTTACAAACATACAAATTCACATACACTTCACACCCGAAACAACAATTTGTGGATCTCATAAATATTTTTTGCGGGCTCAAAACTGATACGTTGCGTAACAGCTGATCACTTAGCCACTGAACCTACCTGTTAGATTATATTATACTAGCGACAAGCTTCACACGGGTGCAATATGCATGTATTATACAATAAACCTTCCTTAACAATCACTCTATCTATTAAAAAAACAGCAGCATAGCAGCAGCAGCAGCAGGTGGATAGCGACTTTCTATTATACTATGTAGTGATGAATTTAATTATTATCAATAGTTGTTTATATTTACCTACAGCGTTGATTTGTCTAACGCTAGATAAATTTTAACTGAGGAATAGGTATTGTTGAATATTTGACAATTCTTCCATAATGAAAACTGTGAAATGTCAAATTTATTCTACAGTTAAGAATTAACTGATGATTGATAAATTGGCCCATAAAATAAAGAAAGAGAGGTTCCCAATTTTTCAACTTTTTACCACAAGAAAGCAATTAAAAGTCCTGAGCCTTTAGCCAAACGCCACTTTAGCGCTTGTCTACAGAGAGAGAGTAGAAATCAAAATGTATGGGGATGCCACTAACAAGTGTCAAAATTTACGTCAGTTCCCTATTTGGTTTTCTATTATACAAGTAGACAAGCGCTAAATGGCATTTGGGTACAGCTGCTGTTTTAGGAACCTGCAGAGATATTTTCATATATTAACCAAATTTAAACGAGGTAAAACGTGGGTAGTTTCCTAAATTTTATTTTAATGTCCGTCTGGTACATTAATTTAAAACTTTAGACACGTATTTTTTCTTTTCTCACAAAATTAAATACTTTCGATGATATATTAATTTGAAATATCGTGTGACGTCACAGCGTGGCACATTTTGTAGCACGTTATGACGTAACGACCTCCCACTCCTAAACTTAGCGCCATTTTATCTAAGTATTGCAACTTAATACGAGAAAATAAAAAAATACGTATCTAATATTTTTTCACCAACTGACGGACTAATTATATTTTAATTTTTTAGGGTATCAAACCCTGGAATCTACCCAGTGGAATATTTTGTACTCAAACAAAGCAACCAAGAAATCTATTTTGAGTAGCTATAGAAAATACATTTCTAAGGCAGAAATTCTTCGAAAACATTTCGTGGCAAATTGAAGAAATTCCTGTTGCTACTTAATGGAGACAAAATATGTATAAACACCCACACCTTACTATCAATTGAATTCATACTAATATTATAAGAGTATGTTTGTTTGTCCGTGTTTCATGGCAAAACAGAGCGAAGAATTGACGTGATATTCTGTTGAGTCTTAAATAAGCTTCTTGCATCGACCATTGTTTTTGTCTCTGCATCACCCAAAGGTCTGGCTGGAGGAGAATGCCCTAGGCATTAAGCTCACCTTGTACATTAGTGAGTGCATGAAGTCATTTAAAAAAAATATATATATTTTAAGTGGAGATAGTTACGGAGCCGCGGAGGACTTAACAGATTGCTGGGGCTCTGGCTTGTAGTGCAGGAGTAGGAACGGGGTAGTTTTTACTCAGGAAGAGTCTGACACTCCCTCCTGCCTCACCCAGGCGAGAAAAAGTCATTCGATGATTTTCCCCCTTCTGCTCTTCAAGCCGGAGCCCCGGCAACCCATTAGGTTCTCCGCGGCTCCGTATATTTGACTACTATAGACTTACACGCAGATTGACACGAAGGACATCTGACGCGTGACATGGCCCGTCATTACACTTCATACATTACGGTGTTGCAAGTACACGCACACATGAATATACCACTGACAATTTTTTTCATGGGATAAACCGATAAACCAGCAGACGGACCACCTGATAATAAGCAATCGGGCAACAGCCCTGTGGTCTGATGGCTATTTGATCGCAATGGGAAGGCCGATCTGGAGCTCAACTGATTGTTGAACCGCACGTCTTGCGATAATCAACCGCTTAGTTTGGGGGCGATTATCAAAATGCGGTGTCGTGAGTTTTGAAAATTCCGCCTCCATTCCACCACCACAAATTTGCGCCGTTAGTCCTTAGCCTATGAGTTTAATCCACCAATGCGTGAATATATTTTTCATAATTCTGCCTTCCCCTTTAAAATAATGCGAGCGAAACAGCGGGCAAAACCTGTTTGTTTATAACTAAAACATTGAAGTTATGTAGGCGTGTTTCATAAATCTAAATTTAGATTCTGGCCGGGAATTTTGTCCTGGACTTTATATTTATATAGGACGACATACTTACTATTTGCTACTAAATATATGTTACATTTTAAGTGTGGGAGAGTCATGCGTCGACGAATGGGCCGGCTCGACCGGAGTGATATCACGGCCTCAAAGAAAACCGACGTGAAGCAACGCTTGAGTTGTGTGTCGTCGTGTGAGTGAGGTTACCGGAAGCCTAATTATCTCCCTTCCCCAATCTCCCCAATGCCGAATCCCCAACAATCGTCAAATTCCTAATCCTCAAAAGGCCGGTACCGCAACGTAACGCCTCTGGTATTCCGGGTGTCCATGGACGGCGCCGTTTGCTTACCATCCTATATAAATTAATATCTCTTTCACATATTTTTTTATTTGGACAAAATAAATAGCGTTTATAATATTATGATAGCTATTCGAACGAACAAAAATCAATATTATGAGCTTGACACGAGTGTGGATATATTTTCTCGAATGTATTTTAAGTGTTGGAGAGCCAGCACGAGTGGGCCGGTTCGACCATGATACCACGGCCTCACAGCCGGTGTGAAACAACGTTGCGTTGTGTTTTGTCTAGTGTAAGCCATACACGCTATGGTCTCCCAAAGGTGTCATGCTCGCTTTCAAACGTAACCGATCATCCATCACCTTAAGTTATAGTGTCATCATCAACAGCCTATAAATGCCCACTGCTGAGCAAAGCCTCTTCTCCCACGGAGAAGATTTGAGAATTAATCACCACGCTCGCTCAATGCGGGTTGGCAAACTTAAAATTAGGAAATGTAAGCTCAGGTTTCCTCACGATGTTTTCCTTCACCGTTTGTGTGTGTGGTGTCTAAATAATCTTAGAAAGTACATATAACTTGGAAAAAGTCACATTGGTACTTGCCGTTGGTAGGTTTCGAACCCGCACCCTCATGCATGAGAAGTGGGCGTCTTAAACCATTTTTTTTGCCTTTTCTATCAAAAGCCGGTTAAAACATAATTAAACGGCTACCAAAACCCATGGTGGAGCCATTGTTCTATTGCTTAACTAACAATTTCGGAACTCCGCTCGAAGCCATACGAAGACGCGTATGGTATTAAATTACTTTTATCGAACATACTATCCAAATATTTGGGTTTACTCGCTTTTAGTGTATTTATGTTGAGAAAAAAACTTCATTAGGTAATATTTTGTTATTTACCCGATTCGTGTATTGAATCTGAAATCGCTTGTCATGTCAAAGTCAAATCATTTATTGCAATTAAACCATAATTTGGTACTTTTGAAACGTAAACAAATGTAAAGAACAAAAATAACATTCCCAGGGGGCCGGTAACGCACTTGTAACGCCTCTGGTGTTTCAGGTGTCTATGAGCGGCGCCGATTGCTTACCATCAGGTGATCCGTCTGTGCGTGTACTTCATCAACAGCCTATAAATACCCACTGCTGAGCAAAGCCTCTTTTCACACGGAGAAGGTTTGAGCATTAATCACCACGCTTACTTTATGCAGGTTGGCGATTACAAACTTATAATTAGACATTATAAGCCCAGGTTTCTTCACGATGTTTTTCTTCGTTTGTCAGTGGTGTCTAGATAATCTTAGAACTTGCCGTTGGTAGGTTTCGAACCCGTACCCTTGTGCATGAGAAGCGGGTGTCTTAAACCTCCGGGCCACCACGTCCCTCTTAAACCTCCGTGCGTGTACTTGCAACACCGTAATGTGTGAAGTATAATGACGGGTCATGTCACGCGACAGATGTCGTCCGTGTCAATATGTGTGTATTCTGCATGTAAGTCTATAGTAGCCAGGTATATGGAGTCGCAAAGAACCTAATGGGAAACCGGGGCTCCGGCTCGAAGTGCAGGAGTAGGAACGGGGTGGTTTTTAGTCAGTAAGAGTCTGACACTCTCTCCCGCCTCGCCTAGGCGGGAAGAGTCATTCGATGATATTCCCCCTTCAAAAAAAGTAGTAGCCAGGTGCCACAGTCGTTGTTTCAAAATACTATTTAACCTTTTTTATCAACGTCCATAACATAACATCACGCTTTTTATTCCCGAATCGAAGGGGTAGGCAGAGGTAGGTACATTATGCCACTGTACAATGTAACACCCACTTTTCACTATTTATGGTATGAGTCCCATGTAATAGGGGGTGAGCCTATTGCCATATACCGGGCACAATTCCAGACTCCGTGCTACTTCTGAGAATTTTTGTTAAAACCCAGTAATACTTTGCCGGACCCGGGAATCGAACCCGAGACCCCTTACCCGGCACTCGCACTTGCGACCACTCGGCCAACGAGGCAGTCCATAGTTATCGAGTTATCAACGTCCATAGTTTTATAATATGTATTTTTTTTTAAGGGGGGAAAATCATCGAATGACTGCCCCCAACTGGGTGAGGCGGGAGGGAGTGTCAGACTCTTACTGACTAAAAACCACCCCGTTCCTTCTCCTGCACGTCGAGCCGGAGCCCCGGTTACCCGTTAGGTTCTCCGCGACTCCGAATCGGCTTATAATATGACTGTATAGATGCTATAATTAGAACATACTTTGTAACCAACGCAGTAAAAACATTGTTCATCACTACGAATACGACCTAGTTTCTTTTTAATCAGAGTGTAAGCAGATCAGTATGTTTGTATGTATGTATGTATGTCATTTGCAATACAAAGGCAGACACAGTATTGGTGCAGAAAAATGAATATTAAGAGCTTTGGTCTCATTTGTAGGGAGGCCATGTTTTTTTAACACCATGAGTCACAACCTTTTTGCTTTGAAGATAGAAGCACATATCCGTATGATAGACATAAAGAAAATTAAACCTAAACACTGCCGACTAGAGTTGATAATCATTTTTTATGGCATAATCGGTAAACGACGGACGGATCACGACCTGATGGTAAGCAAACGGCGTCGCCTATATCTATGGGCCAGGTGTCTGGTACACCAGAGGCGTTTCAAGTGCGTTACTGGTTTTTTGGGGATTAGGAGTTTCAGGATTATTGGGGATTCAAGGATTCCGGTAACCTCACTCACACGACGAAACACAATGCAAGCGTTGCTTCACGTCGGTTTTCTGTGAGGCCGTGGTATTACTCCGGTTGAGCCGGCCCATTCGTGCCGAAGCATGCCTCTCCCTAACAATTGTGAATGTAAGCTAAATATCAAGGTGACTTGTAACTCGACGTATTCCTCTCGGGAGGTGATAATACAACTAATTTCCTACAAAACTAGTCCAGAGGTCTCTGGTCTGAAAGTGGCTAGTTTCTGAGATATTCAACATTAAGTAAAATCGCGGGTTACTCACGTGAATATACCGAGAAAAGCTCTACTAGTTTCGAACCACAGAGGGGTTCTTCCTCATGAACAGAGTGCGCGGTCGCGGCGACGTCGCGAGTAACCCGCGTTTTTACTTAATTTAGTATGTCTCACGATAGTTATTATAAAAACATATTTAACATTTTCGGTTTTGATGAAAAAATCCCGAACGAACTACAAAAACATCATTAAATAAAAAACTACGTGTTTGATTTATTTATTTATTATCTATATAGAGGTATATAAAAGAAAGTCGTGTTAGTTACACCACTTATAACTCAAGAACGGCAGAATAGATTTGGCTGAAAATTGGTAGGGGGGTAGCTTAAACCCAGGAGACCGACATAGGATACTTTTTAACCAATATTTTTTTTACTTTTTACCGAAAATCACGAACGGGGACGGGAAAAAATGGGATTATGCGTACGAAGTCGCGGGCAGAAGCTAGTTTATTATATTTATGAAGGAATACGTCGAGTTACAAGTTACCCTATTTACATTGTTTAAAGCTTAATTTCGTAGTTCGGTGGCGTTCGGCAGATGCACTTACGTCCTTTCCACCATTGAGACAAAGCGCCGAGGCAGTCCATAGAATTGTAATCAATCAAAAACTTCGGGAAAAGTCTTATTTACTTTAATCGAAAACGCATTTACATTCAATATTGTGAACGATAAAGTTCAATTTTAATTTAATATTAGTAATTTGATGTCGAACTTTCTTTGTGCCATCTTTAACCTATAAAAAGATAGGGCTGACGTAACCTATTGGTCAAAATTCTTTCTTTATTGAAACAAAGAGTTTCCTTTTTCTTGTATAGAAGCACTATTTTTATGGATTGTCAGTATGCATATGTGAGCACCATGCCATGTTATAGTATAAGATTTTTTTTGTTTTGTTTTTTTATTTTTATTTTACTAAGTTTTGTAATTAGTATAATGCGTCAAGCGTGTCTTTGCATTGTTCTCACATATACGTACAGTATTGGAATATGTATCAGAGACATTGTAGAACATACTTTTTTTAAAAGAGTAACGAATGGAATTTCTTGCTCATTCTTCTCCATTCGGATCTACATTTTGGAATGACCACCTAGCTTTACTGACGGACTGACTGACAGACTATTATTTATTTTATATTTGTTGACGTTTAAAAAGTATCAAATTATGGTTTAATTAAACTGTCAAACACCGCGAGGACACCGGTGACCGCAACCTATTGTTCTTTAATTTTGTCTATAATGACGGTACTCAAAGAGTTAAAATAAATTCTTTGATTTTGACTTTGAAAAAAGCTCCTAAAATAAAATATAATCTAGAAAAACCTACAAAAAGGTTCTTAGTTTTTTTCTCCCTCTTTTTTTGAGGGAGAAAAATCATCCGATGCCTTCTCCCGCCTTGTGCGAGGTAAGAGAGAGTGTCCGCGGATACCGCACAATCTCTGGGGAGTCGGCGAACCTCCTTGCCGGATTACCGCCGTGGGATCTGGAGGCGAAGGTGCTCGCGCGCGTGTATAACATGCGCGTGGAGGCACGTCGCCGGGGCGAAACTCCGCTGCCGCGCCAGATAAGTGCGTGGCGGGATGAGCTCCGGCGCGATCTCATGGCGGAATGGCAGCAACGACTGTCGCAACCGGGGGCTGGGCTCGCTGCCATTGCAGCGGTAAGTCCCCTCTTTGAGGAGTGGCTTGAGAGACGCTACGGCGTCCTCACCTACCGCCTGACGCAGGTCCTCACCGGACATGGAAGTTTCGGGAGGTACCTGTGTCTGATGGGGCGGGAGGAAACGCCCGGGTGTCATCACTGCGAGGACCGCCCTGAGGACACGGTGGAACACACAGTGGGAGAATGCCCTGCGTGGGCTGAGCACCGCCGTGCCCTCAGGGAAGTGATCGGCGATGGCGACCTCTCGCGTCCGGGCCTAGTGCAGGCCATGATGCGGAGCGAGGAGGATTGGGATGCCGTCTCCTCCTTTTGCGAAGCAGTCATGCTAGCTAAGGAGGAGGCGGGACGCGTGAGGCAGCGAAGCGCTGCCTCCTCGCAACCCAGCCATCGCGAAGGACACACCGGGCGTCGGGGATCGCGAGACGATCTCCGGCCACCGTAAGCGCGGGCCTGCGGACGGCGAGCATGGGTGGCTCCCCGTCCGACCAGAAACAGACCCGAGCGTACGGCGCGTCGCGTTCCGCGCGCGCCTCAAAGAGCCATCAGACCACCACAGATGGGGCCCAATAGGGCCGATGCCGATTCGGAGTCGCGGAGAACCTAACGGGTAACCGGGGCTCCGGCTCGACGTGCAGGAGAAGGAACGGGGTGGTTTTTAGTCAGTAAGAGTCTGACACTCCCTTCCGCCTCACCCAGGCGGGAGCAGTCAATCGACGATTTTCCCCCCTTAAAAAAAAAAAAAAAAAGAGAGAGTGTCAGACTCTTATTGACTAAACACCACCCCGTTCCAAATCGTGATCTTCGATTCGGAGCTCCGGTAACCCGCTATGTCACAAACCCTTGGGACAAAAGTGTCAGTTTATGGAGTGTATGGATGATTTGGAACTGTGCTCTCCTAGTCACCGAGCAAGTGTAGGGATTATGGATCAACACATAACGTTACGGCTTTTATCTACGAAGGAGTAGGCCATGCCAAGCACAATTTCAGACTCTGTGCTACTTGAGTGAGATTTTTTTTTAAAAACCAGTAATATTTTGCTAGCCCCGGTAATCGAATTCAATCCTTGCCCGACAGTCGCACTTGCGACCACTCGGCCAACGAGACAGTCAATGGTGGGTCAATCCTCCTTATACACATAAATCACTTCTTCTCCTTTTATAATATCTTCTGATTCAGTACATTGCGGGAACCAAGACAGTTATTCATGTCCCTGAGACGCGACGGACTTCAGTGTTCTTCCGGTGTTTTCATGGTTGTATCTACTGTAGATCTTGGCTTACAAGAGTTGCAGCGGTTACGGGAGGTTGTGGCGGGGTAGCCCCATTAAAAAAATACAAATAAACCCAGTACCAAATAATTCTTTAGCACAGAAATCGTATTCGAAACTTCTTGTATGGTAGGAAAGAGACAAGAGACAATAGGCTCGACTCACATTACATTTTTTATTTTATTTTATTTTTATTTAACACTTTATGTACAACTATATACAATGGCGGACTTAATGCCGAATGGCATTCTCTACCTCACATTTTCTCTTCTCTTCTCATTTTGTAACATGTTTTTAGAAAATAACTCGACTAACATGTATTGTGTGTCGTTTAATTAAAAATTCTTATGTCTACTATATTTTTCACAATCTTTCAGTAGTATAACATGAGTGATGAAAATGCAACTGAAAAATATACAACGTCGAATAATTTCAGGCGTTTCTAACTTCAGAATAGCGAACTTTACATTTTTCGTTAAAATTCGTACCGTATCGTAACTCTATTATTAGAATTTTTAGCCGAATCGTTTATCGGTCGATATTAACAAAAATATTTAATTGGTTTTAAACATCAAGCCCTTTAACCCACATGTGTGGGAGAGCTATGCTTCGGCACGATTTTTTTTTTTTTAATTGGGGAAAATCATCGAATGACTGCTCCCGCCTGGGTGAGGCGGGAGGGAGTGTCAGACTCTTACTGACTAAAAACCACCCCGTTCCTTCTCCTGCACGTCGAGCCGGAGCCCCGGTTACCCGTTAGGTTCTCCGCGACATGCTTCGGCACGAATGGGCCGGTTCGACCGGAGTGATACCAGGGCCGAAAAGAAAACCGACGTGAAACAACGCTTGCGTTGTTTCGCTATCGCAACCACTCAAGGCCGATGTTGCACGAATCACATGTAAACAATAACGATTAAAATGTGGGATAAAAAGGGTAGATGCCTAATTTTTATTTTAATGTCCGTCTGGTAGATTTTTTTAAAATCATTAGACACGTATTTTTTATTTTCTTACAGAAACGAATACTTTCGACGATATATTGATTTGAAATGTCGCGTGACGTCACTTCTATGTACATTTTATATGTAAGTAGAAATGACGTTTTAGCCCCCACTCCTAAACTTTGATTCGTTTTATCTAAGTATTGTTTTATTATACGACAAATTAAAAAAATACGTGTCTAATATTGTTTCATTACCTAACTTACGGACTAATTCGATTTTTAATTTTCATACCCCTGTCATCGTATAAATTGTAAAAGCTACTTTTTATCAGCGTCGTTCAGGAGCTTTCCGCACGCGTTTCACACTATGTATATTCCATTCATCATCAACAGCCTATAAATGCCCACTGCTGAGCAAAGCCTCTTCTCACACGGAGAAGGCTAGAGCATTAATCACCACGCTTGCTCAATGCGGGTTGGCGATTTCAAACTTATAATTAGAAATTATAAGTTCAGGTTTCCTCACGATGTTTTTCCTTCACCGTTTGTCAGTGGTGTCTAAATAATCTTAGAAAGTACATATAACTCGGAAAAAGTCACATTGGTACTTGCCGTTGGTAGGTTTCGAACCTGCACCCTCATGCATGAGAAGTGGGCGTCTTAAACCTCCGGGCCACCACGACATAATATTCCTTTAGATCTTTTTAACAATACCTTGCAAGATCTCAATAAACTCCAGTTACTTATTTATTATGGGTATAAATATTATACTCCATTCTATGGCCCCCCGAGATCCCAAACAGTGGGGTCGTCGCGTGAAAATATGCAAACCTCTCAATTATGTGGTCGGACACACTGACGGGGAAGTTGGATAACTTTATATATATATTGACTGCACTGTTGGCAACCGGCTGCCGTGCCGTCACACTTTGTGTGATCCACAAATTGTTGTTTCGGGTCTGGGTGTTATTGTGTATGTGAACTTGTATGTTTGTAAACGCACCCACGACACGGGAGAAAATCCTAGTGTGGGGCAAAGTTTTTTAGACGAAAAAACAAAAAAACATATTTTTTATTGAAATAAGTCGGTAAATGAGGGAAGATCACAGCTGAAAAAAAGGTAAACAAATATTTTTTATGGGATAAGCCGGTAAACGAGCAGACAGATCACCTGATGGTAAGGGATCACTGATGGTAAGCAATCGGCACCACCCGTGGAAACCCGATATACCAGGGGTGTTACAAGTGCGTTACCGGCCTATTAGAGGTTAGGAATTTAACGATTATTGGGCCTCCAGTATCCTCACTCACACGGCAAAACACAACACACGTCGGTTTTTGTGTCCATGGGCGGCGTCGATTGCTTATAAAAATTTTTAGAACATTAGAAATACCTAATATCTAATAATTTAAGTGTGGGAGAGCCATGCTTCGGCACGAATGGGCCGGCTTGACCAGAGTGATACCACGGCCTCACAGAAAACCGACGTGAAGCAACGCTTGCGTTGTGTTTCGTCGTGTGCGTGAGGTTACCGGATGCCCAATTACCCTCCCCTTCCCCAATTCCTGAATCAGCAACGATCCTCAAACTCCTAATCTCCAAAAGGCCGGTAACGCACTTGTAACGCCTCTGGTGTTCCGGGTGTGTGTATATCCGTGTGTGTATCCAAGGGCGACGCCGATTGCTTACCATCTGTGCCTTTAGCCAAACGCCACTTTAGCGCTTGTCTACAGAGAAAGTAGAAAACCAAATGTATGGGGATGACACTGACAAATGTCAAAATTTACGTCAATTCCATATAATTTGGTTTTCTATTCTACATGTAGACAAGCGCTAGATGGCATTTGGCTACAGCTGCAGGTGATCTGTCTGCTCGTTTACCGGCTTATCCCATAAGATATTTTTTACCTTTTTTTTTCGGCTGTGATCGTCCCGCTGCAGGGCTTTTCTACGCGTCTTTTAGAACATCAATAAATACAGTTTCGAAGAGTTTTTAATATAACCGCAGAAAATTACCTATCTATGCACGTGATGTATTATCGAACACACATAACATAATATCACGCCTTTTATCCCCGAAGGGGTAGGCAGAGGTGCACATTTACGGCACTTAATGCCACTGTACAATGTAACACCTACTTTTCACTATTTATGTTATGAGTCCCATGTAATAGGGGGTGAGCCTATTGCCATATACCGGGCACACATCCAGACTCCGTGCTACTACTGAGATTTTTAAAAACCCAGTAATACTTTGCCCGATCCGGGAATCGAACCGGAGACCTCTTGACCAGCAGTCCCACTTGCGCCCACTCAGCCAACGATTATCGGACATATTCGCATATATATATGTCCTAATCTCACCAACAGAGTAGACAGTGTGTTCTCAATCAATATTTCACGTAAATGTAATAAAAAAATCATAAAGATATCATACCAGGAGGCTTATTAAAAATATAATCCTCAATTCGTAATATCTTTTGTTCTAACTCGGTGCCCTAACATCTGTCGCGGGGTAGGGCGGGATCAAATAAATTAATTTCATTTCCTGACACTCTCTATGAGTCTTTTTACAAAATGTAGTATAATTTAACCGATCGATTTGATTTTGAATGACTTGTTTTATTAGAGGATGTCTCAACAGTGACCGTTGTTAAGTAAGGGGTCTTGGTTTTGGTTGTCGGGTCGGGCAAAGAAATATTGGGTGTTTCGAATATTATCAATACTAAGTGTGGGGGAGCTACGCTTCGGCACGAATGGGCCGGCTCGACCGGAGTGATACCACGGCCGAGAAGAAAACCGACGTGAAACAACTCTTGTGGTTTGTTTCGTCGTGTGAGTGAGGTTATTGGAGGCCCAATTACCCCTTCCCTAGTCTCTCCAATCCCCGAATCCCCCACAATCCTTAAATTCCTAATTCCCAAAAGGCCGGTAACGCACTTGTAACGCCTCTGGTGTTTCGGGTGTTCATGGGCGACGCCAATTGCTTACCATCAGGTGATCCGTCGGCCCGTTGACAGGCTTATACCATAAAAAAAAGAGTTACGATTCGGCACGAATGGGCCGGCTCAACCGGAGTGATACCACGGCCTCACAGAAAACCGACCAGAAACAACGCTTGCGTTGTGTTTCGTCGTGTGAGTGAGCCGTTTCTGGATGCCCAGGAATTAGAGAAATCCGTCAAGCATGATTTTCATGGCAAACATTCCATTTATCGGCGAGAGACTTGACTGGTAAATCGGTTGCTGTGAAACATATCATAGTGATTTCATAGGTATTCCGGGAGACAGAAGGCAATACTAGTGTGGGCAACGTTTATTTTTTACCATCTACTTCCGCGCGCTCTGCTCAGCTCCCGTTAATCCCGGCGTGATGTTTTGTAGCCTATAGCTGTCCTCGATAAATGCGCTATCCAACACTACAAGAATTATTGAAATATGACCTGTAGTTCCGGAGATTAGAGCTTTGAAACAAACAAGTGAATTTATTTCTGCAAGGCTTTTACACGTTAATTTTATTAAGCATACGATGAGTCCGAAATTACAAACCAACTTACCAGCTATGTTTTTATAGTAACTATCGTAAGACATACTAAATTAACTAAAATCGCTGGTTACCCACGTGAATATACTGAAAAAAGCTCTACTATTTTCGAACCACAGAGGGGTTCTTCCTCATGAGCAGCGTGCGTGCGTGAGTAACCCGTGATTTTAGTTAACTTTCCAGCTGTTTATAGCATATTTAATATTTGTTTCGTAATATACATTATAATTTCGACTGCACGGTTGGTGCGGTAGCTGGGCAACCGGCTGCCGTGCAACGTGTCGCGGGTTCGATTCCCGCACGGAACAATACTTTGTGTAATCCACAAATTGTTGTTTCGGGTCTGGGTGTCATGTGTATGTATGTGAACTTGTATGTTTGTAAACGCACCTACGACACATGAGATAATCCTAGTGTGGGACAACGCTTTAAAAAAAACACAAAAAACTATTATTGTACAAAACTTTGTTTCCTATTTCACCAAGCAGTGTGTCGTCTAAACATCTACATATAACCACAACTACAATATGAGTTGATCGGTGTATATTGCCGCCTCGCCACCGCGCCAGATATTCCAACAATTTACTCGGCATTCCTACGGGGTGGCAAAATGTATTGCCGCTCTGAAATTACGAGGCCCACGTGTGTATGCGAGAATCGGGTGACTTTTAATCTTGATAGGGGATTCATTTTTGTGCCATTAATGTTAAATTTAGCTGTACTCATAACTTCGCATGCGTTTTTATAAAGTAAGTAGCATATTAGTCCTTAGTACGTCAGCTACATTTTTTTATGGGGAAAAATCATCGAATGACTGCTCCCGCCTGAGTGAAGCGGGAGGGAGTGTCAGACTCTTACTGACTAAAGACCACCCTGGTTCCTACTCCTGCACGTCGAGCCGGAGCCCCGGTAACCCGTTAGGTTCTCCGCGACAGTACGTCAGCTACCTGCCAATAAAAGTCCTGTCAAAATCGGTTCAGCTATTGCAGAGATTAGTCAGTACAAACGGACGGACAGACAGACAAAAATTGTAAAAAGTGTGTTATTGATATGTGTGTCGTATGTATATTCATAAGCGGTTATTTCAATATTACAAACAGACAATCTAATTTTATATTTTATCTGTATAGATAAGTCGTGCGGTAACGCCAGACTTTTCTATTACCTATCTTCTTAGGTGATTGCCTAAAGAGCCTCAATCACACACAGGCCCGTCCTAAACTACGCTGGGGCCCTTAGGTACACAACAATTCGGGGCCCATTTGGCATGTTTCTTGTTTTTAACATTGTCCCACGCTATGATTAGTGTGGGAGAAACATGCTTTGGCACGAATGGGCCGGCTCGACCGGAGTGATACCACGGCCTCACAGAAAACCGACGTGAAGCAACGCTTGCGTTGTGTTTCGTCGTGTGAGTGAGGTTACCGGAGGCCTAATTACCCTCCCCTTCTCCAATCTCCCCAATCCCTGAATCCCCAACGATCCTCAGTTCCTGGGTGTCACACATTCGAAGTTCCTGAGATCATCGGAAAATCTTAAGCTCAGCATTTGTAAGCACTCCACTTGCTTTTATGACAAGTCCTTCACAATTCAAGCGGCTCGGTTGTGGAATGCGCTGCCGGTGGAAGTGCGACGTGCTCAAACTCTGGGTCAGTTTAAAGGACGTGTGAAGGAACACTACCTGTCACTGTAGTTATGCTTTTGTCCTTTCATTATGGATAAACACATCACATATACACACACACACACCCACACACACACACACACACATACACGCAACTATATATAGTTATCATTTTACATTTAAGTATATATTTATTAAATAGTATTGCCATTTTTATCTTTTATGTATTATATGTAGTCTGTAAGGTTCATTGATTGTTTAATTTGTTTTTTTTATTGCTTTCCTTCTATTTTGATTTATTTTTATTGTGCATCTACCACCCATTCCCAGATTCTTTTCTAAAATTCCATCCAAAGGTTGTCTGGAAGAAATCGCCGCGTGTGATAAGACCGCCCATTGTACTTTAATTACTGTTGCAATGTTTACAAATTTTTTTTCTGTGTGTGCAATAAAGTATATATAAATAAATAAATAGATCCTCAAATTCCTGATCCCCAAAAAGCCGGTAACGCACTTGTAACGCCTCTGGTGTTCCTGGTGTCCATGGGTGACGCCGATTGCTTGCCATCAGGTGATCCATCTGCTCGTTTAACGGCTTATGCCATAAAAAAAGGATTTTCTCCTGTATCGTGGGTGCATTTATAAACATACAAATTCACATACACACCCAGACCCGAAATAACAATTTGTGGACCACACATAGAATTGCTAAGTGCGGGAATCGACCCCGCTAGTTGCCACGCTACGTGTAGCGGGTGTGTAACCCCTGAGGGCCCTGGGCATGGGCCCCGAGTGCCCTTATGGTAAAGACGGAACACAACACTACCATCGTTTCATGCTGTTTTTCTGGGAGGCCGTGGTAACACTCCGGTTGAGTTGGTCCATTCGTTCAAAAGTCAAAAAAGTCAAAATCATTTATTTCAATTAGGCCAGAATGGCACTTTTGACCGTCAACAAAAAAAAAAATTATTTGCTATTTGCTCATTCCAAGATGTAGATTTCTATGGAGAAGTACGAGCAAGAAACTCCATTTTTATTGTTGTTGATAATCATGATGATGATGCTGTTTGTTTTGCAGGTGGTGTGGACATCGTCAAGGGCTGACGATGAGGCAGGATGTGGTCAGAGTGGTGGTGTGTCGTGCTAACGCTGAATACTGTGGTGGCTCTCTCTCCGGTGGTTAAAATAGGTCAGTTTAAAATTTGATCATGTAATACTTACTCAAATTTGCACAGCATGTATCTATAGAATCAGCGACTAAACTTGTAAATAACAACATAAACAGCCTATAAGTGCCCACTGCTGACCAAAAGCCTCGACTCACACGGCAAAGGTTTGAGCATTAATCACCACGCTTGCTCAATATGAGTTAGTAATTTCGAATTTATGATTAGAAATTATAAGCTTAGGTGATGTTTTCCTTCACCAATTGTCAGTGGTGTGTAGATAATCTTAGAAAGTACATATAACTCGGAAACATTCACATTGGTACCTGTTGTTTTTAGGTTTTGATCGCGCTCCCTCATGAATTAGACACGGTAGATTATTTATGGCAATAGGCTCACAATAACATAACATCAGGCTTTTTTATCCCCGAAGGGGTAGGTAGAGGTGCACATTTCGGCACTTAATGCCACTGTACAATGTAACACCCACTTTTCACTATTTGTGTTATGAGTCCCATGTAATAGGGGGTGAGCCTATTGCCATATACCGGGCACATTTCCAGACTCTGTGCTACTACTGAGATTTTAAAGAACCCATTAATACTTTGCCCGACCACTTGCGACCACTCGGCCAATGAGGCAGTTTAAGTTTAATAATACTTTTGAGTTTTAGTGTAATATTTTTAGCATTATCTGACTGATGGACTAATTAGATTTTTAATTTTCATACCCTGTCATCATTCCTATTCCAGGCGCGGTGTTCACAGAAGACGCAAGAGGTGGTAGCACGGAGCTGGCCTTCAAGTACGCTGTCTACAGGATCAATAAAGAAAGGACTCTCCTGCCGAACAGTACGCTGGTGTACGATATTCAGTACACCCCATCAAGGGACAGCTTCAAGACTTTCAAGAAAGGTAAGGACTTTTTTATTGGATAATCCGGTAAATGAGTGGACGGATCACTTGATGGTAGGCAATCGGAGATAAAATATGTAACTGTTACACAAGAAATAGGTTTTTTTTATGGCATACGCCGTTAAATGAGTAGACGGATCACAAGCAATCGGCGTCGCCCATGGACACCTGGAACATCAGACGCCTCCATTTCAAACTTCGTGCTCTTAATAAAAATTTAAGGACATTAGAAATACCTAATAATAATTTAAGTGTGGGAGAGCCATGCTTCGGTACTAATGGGCCGGCTCGACCGGAGCGATACCACGGCCTCACAGAAAACCGACGTGAAGCAACATTTGCGTTGTGTTTCGTCGTGTGAGTGAGGTTACCGGAGGCCCAATTCCCTTCCCCAATCTCCCCAATCCCTGAATCCCTAACGATCCTCAAACTCCTAATCCCCAAAAGGGCGGTAACGCCTTACAAGTGCGTTAGCGGCCTTTTGGGAATTGGAAATTTAAGGAGAATAATATTAATATTGTGTTATCCACAAGTTGTTGTTCCGGGTCTGGATGTCATGTGTATGTGAACTTGTATGTTTGTAAACGCACACACGACACAGGAGAAAATCTTAGTTTGGAGCAACGTTTTATCTTTAAAAAAAATAAAAAATAAAACAAACAACAATCCTATATTTTTACCAAACAAAATAGTTACCAATTAGTTATTAATAACAATTTTTTTCTGTGTGTGCAATAAAGTATAAATAAATAAATAAATAATAAATAGTCTTGGCGTTCCCAATTTCATTTTAACAGCAATAAACACGCTTTAAAAACGAGAATTAAACGCGTTCTATTTTCAAAATGCAGTGCAAAGTCACACCAACCGCCATTTTGCGATAATTTCACACAGGAAAACAAAAAAAAAAAATACGCCATAAACACACAACTTTTTCTATCAAAAAGTGCACTGTAAAGCGTTTATGACACGGAGTATAGAGAAATGGAGTACCATATTTATGTCAACAAAACAAAAAGTGTTCATTGAGTTCTTTGACTAAATGCTGTTGCATTTATTTTGCTCACTGCAGCACAAGCACATTTGACCTACTTTGACTATTTGCTGTAAATTATGCGCAATTAAATTTTTATGGAAAACATAACGACGTTTAATCCTCAAAATGTTAACCGGAGATGCACATAATTATGCAATAATGTAACATACACTTACCACTAGTTTTGTCATCTCGTCTGCCTCGTTGGCCGAGTGGTCGCAAGTGCGAGAGGAGACCTCTTGCCCGGCAACCGCACTTGCGTTCGTGCGGTCGGGCAAAGTATTACTGGGTTTTTAAAAAATCTCAGTAGTAAACACGCAGTCTGAAATTATTATGCCCGGTATATGGCAAAAGGCTCACCCTTTTTTACATGGAACTCATAACATAAATAGTGAAAAATGGCCACTGTACAATGTAACATTGTACAGTGGCATTAAGTGCCGTAATGTGCACCTCTGCCTACCCCTTCGGTTATAAAAGGCGTGATGTTATGATATGTAGTTTTGTCATGGACCCCATGTATGACCCCATTGCGATTATTACCACCGTACATAAAAATTACTCACACTTTGCACAACTCTGAATCGAACTCGGAACCCCTAACTCTAGAGTCACATTATGAATACTTGACCAACAATAACTTTTATGCTTCGCACACAAATTACTCCACCAACTCAATACTCCATGCTTTTTAAACAATACCCGACGCTTACTCACAGCTTGGCGGGAAACGAGGCGGCCATATTGGATTTCCTTACATTTACCGGCTAGCATTATTGCTATACTTTTTTTAATATGGCATCCTTCTCTATGGCTCGGTAGGAAATGTAAAAGGCCTTGTATTATGCAGGATTTGTTTCAAGTGGTACGTTGGTCGAGTGGACGGGGTTGGTTAAAGTATTATTGTGTTTTTCAGTAATAATGGAGGGTAGAAATGTGACTGGTATATCGTAAATGCTTTTTTATGTACGATCAAAGGTGGATCGTAACTTTAAACTTAATAACAGCTTTAACTCGTCGAGTACCGGTTTTATAGACACAATTAAAGAACAAGGTCGCGGTCACCGGGACCGCTTGGTGTTTGACAGTTTAAAGATGGATGGCTGATAAGTAGACTATGGAGTAGCATAGGCTGCTTTAATATCAGAAAAAAGAAACAAAAGAAATAAAGAAAAAGCATTTATTTTGCAAATGGCACACAAACAAAGATTATGAAAAATAAAGTTACAGATACATACATAAATACATAATAAAAAGTCATCAAAATATAACAAAATAATGTATGTACATACAATACGAAACAAATGCAATAAGTTTTTGATATAAAGAAAATTAAATATATATACAAAAAAACATAATATAAATAATATAATACATAGTAATATTGTAGGCGTGTGCACATGCCAAAAGGGCCTCCACCTCAGCATATAGTTGAGCGTTTCTGCCCAACGCTGATTTTCAGGTGGCACCCTGCAGTGACTCACGGACGGCGGTACCGCCTCTCAATAAGGAAAAGAAAATAAATTTAAATATGAAATTATGTAGATAAAATAAATTATGCAGAATATGTTTGTGTGTGTGTGTGTGCGTATGTGTGTGAAAAGTTGTGATTAGAAAAATGTATACATAGATTTAATAGTAAATGTAAATACAAACAAAATGTAAAAATGCACTTTCTATATTTATTCTTTTTTTAATTAACTGAGGGTTTTGTATTTTTGGGCTGCCAAACCAGACAGGCAAAAAAAAAAATGTTCTAAAATTCATATTCTACGCGTCGTGGGCAATAGCTAATAAATGAATAATGGAGAAGAAATGGGTTGTTAATGAGATTTAAAACAAAATCAACGAAAAGCCGTGGTGGCCCGGAGGTTTAAGACGCCCTCTTCTCATGCATGAGGGTGCGGGTTCGAAACCTACCAACGGCAAGTACCAATGTGACTTTTTCCGAGTTATATGTACTTTCTAAGATTATTTAGACACCACTGACAAACGGTAAAGGAAAAACATCGTGAGGAAACCTGGACTTATAATTTCTAATTATAAGTTTGAAATCGCCAACCCGCATTGAGCAAGCGTGGTGATTAATGCTCTAACCTTCTCCGTGTGAGAAGAGGCTTTGCTCAGCAGTGGGCATTTATAGGCTGTTGATGACAACGAAAAGCTACAATAAATTGCAATGCTAGATTGCTTATGTTTGATTCGGCACAATGTGTTTTCTATTGTGTCCCATATAAATATATATCTCTCTCTCTCTCTCAAGCAGAAAAAGGGTTAATCCGCGTTAATCTCAATACTCAAAACTCAAACTCTTTATTTGCATGTTAAGGTAATACATACAGGTCTTATGAAATAACAGGCACAGCTTAACGGCCTTTTTCAGGCATTATAATACAGTAGAATACACAATTACAATAGGGTTGTTGCCAGGGAATGAAAATTAAAAATGTAATTAGTCCGTCAGTTAGACAATGAAAAAATATTAGACACGTATTTTTTTATTTTCTCTTTTTTATGGGATAAACCGGTAAACGAGCAGTCACCTGATGGTAAGCAATGGACACCTGGAACACCAGAGGCATTACAAGTGCGTTACCGGCCTTTTGGGATTAGGAATTTGAGAATTGTTGGGGATTCAGGGATTGGGGAAAGGAGGGGAGGGTAATTGGGCATCCTGTAACCTCAGTCACACGACGAATCACAACACAACGTTGTTTCACGTCGGTCGTCTGTGAGGTCGTGGTATCACTCCGGTCGAGCCGGCCCATTCATGCCGAAGCATGGCTTTCCGACACTTAAAAAGTTCTCGTATAAAGTTACAATACTAAGATAAAACGGAGTTAAGTTTAGGAGTGGAAGGTCGTTACGTCACTATACGTTACAAAATGTAGCGAATACTAGCGCGTCGAAAATATTTAATTTTGTGAGAAAAGTGTCTAATGTTTTAAATTAATCTACTAGACGGACATAAAAAAAAAATTTAGGCAACGACCCTATTACAAACATACAATTCAGCCGCGGAGGACTTAACGGGTTACCGGGGCTCCGGCTCGAAGGGCAGGAATAGGAACGGGGTGGTTTTTAGATGATGATGGTCAGTAAGAGTCTGACAGTCCCTCCCTCCTCACCTAGGCGGGAGAGCGGCTCGACCGGAGAGATACTACGGCCTCACAGAAAACCGACGTGATCCGCATCACTGTCACTAGAGAACATTCCCAGAAGACTGGCAGCATTGCCACGTTGAATGGAAATGCTTGTTTTCTGTCCGAAGAAATAGCCAGTCCTCTGGTCACGAGCATAGTCGATTAGTCTAAGGGCAATTTCTTTATGAACCGAAGTAAAATGATATATTTAATGTTTGATTTCAGCGTGTGCTCAAATCCAGTCGGGTGCTGTGGCCATATTCAGTGGTGTGGGCCCACTGCTGGGCAACACGTTAGACCACATGAGCATCAGTCTGCATGCTCCACACCTAACTGTTGGACCTTTTACGCCAGAGAATCGTAAGTAATACCTTCTCTTTATTAAGTCAAATATTTTTACAGGATAGAATAATCCTCATGGTAAAATAATCACTGCATAGTAAAAACAAAGTTGCTATCCGCCGTCTGTCTGTCCCTATGTATGATTAGATCTTTAAAACTACGCAACGGATTTTGATGCGGTTTTTTTATATCTTATATATATAAAAGAAAGTCGTGTTAGTTACACCACTTATAACTCAAGAATGGCAGAATAGATTTGGCTGAAAATCAGTAGGGAGGTAGCTTAGAGCCAGGAGACCGACATAGGATACTTTCTAACAATTTTTTTTTTTACTTTTTACCGAAAATCACGAACGAGGACGGGAAAAAATGGGATCACGCGTACGAAGTCGCGGGCAGAAGCTAGTTTTTAATGTAACTACAGAATTTGCACTTCTACAGTTTTATGATATGTATAGACGATACATACATATAGAGGTAATCATCTGTGTATCTCAATTTTCCAGTGAACCACACATTCACAATAAATCTGTACCCACCAAGGGACCTCCTAACGAAGGCGTTCGCTGAGTTCCTCTCATATCTAAACTGGACGAGAATGGGAGTCATCTATGAAGATTATGGATATGGTAAGCTGTTGTTTATTTATTTTTTATAATAACATAAAGAAAGAAAGAAAGAAAGAAAAACCATTTATTTTGTTTTTTTTTTTTAAAAATGCGTTGCCCCACATTAGGATTATCTCCTGTGTCGTGGGTGCGTTTACAAACATACAAGTTCACATACACAATGACACCCAGACCCGAAACAACAATTTGTGGATCACACAAAGTGTTGTTCCGTGCGGGAATCGAACCCGCGACACGTTGCACGGCAGCCGATTGTCCAGCCACCGCACCAACCGTGCAGTCATTTTGTTACGACACACAACAAGAATTTAGAAACACAAAAATGCCTATGGTGGAGGGTGTAAAGGCTGGAGCTCAGCTTAATACCGTGGACCGGGCACAGAGGCTCGAGCCCACGGCGCTGATTTTCAGCACCAGCCCGTTATGGTATGTACAGGCAGAGGCAGAGGTGCACATTACAGCGCTTAATACCAATGTACAATGTAACACCCACTTTTCACTATTTATGTTATGAGTCCCATTTAATAGATTCCTATGGAGTAGGCGTAGATTCCTATGAAGAAAAACGAGCAAGAAACTCAATCGGATTTACAATACAATTTTCTAGTTAGGTAGCTACATAGTTTTGTTGGTTCGATTGTATGAGAACAATGCAACAACTAAATCCAGTCAAAGAGTTTGAAAAAGAAAATAACCTTGAGGACAATAATATCATACAGTTTTAAGCGTGGGAGAGCCATGCTTCGGCACGAATAGGCCGGCTCGAACGGAGTGATACCACGGCCTCACAGAAAACCGACGTGAAGCAACGCTTGCGTTGTGTTTCGTCGTGTGAGTGAGGTTACCGGAGGCCCAATTACCCTCCCCTTCCCCAATCTCCCCAATCCCTGAATCCCCGACGATCCTCAAACTCCTATTCCCAAAAAAAACACGGTAACGCACTTGTAACGCCTCTGGTGTTACAGGTGTCCATGGGCGACGCCGATTGCTTACCATCAGGTGATCCGTCTGCTCGGTTACCGGCTTATGCCATAAAAAAAATACAGTCTGGACCTGACCTGACAGATAGTTGTTATAAAAAATGTATTTTTCTTTCCAGGTGAATTAAACATCCTGGATATAGCAAAAGACGGCAGAGATATGTATACAGTAAGGTGTCGGGATGCGAAGGAATATAGACGAGGATTAGCGTTGTTAAAAGCGCAACAGATTGATCATATTGTGGTTGATACAGACCCGAAGAGGGTGAGGCAGCTGGCTAGGGCTGTGAGTATTAATTTTTGCCATTATTTTTCTAAAAAACATTATATTTTATTTATCTATCATGTTATATAGTCATGTACTTGTGTATGTATGTATATTAAATAATCAACTTTACTTTACTTTTGAACGATTACTTATTTTACGGAATTTGTTTATATAAATAACTTGTCCTAGAATTAGTATTATTGTGATTGCTCCTCTCGCCTGTGATACAGGATATTCTTCCTAGTACAGGCATTAAACCTAGTGTGATCTCTGATTTTAAATTAAGATGTTTATCTGTAATATGACCAATTTCTTATAAAGAATAAAGATTTATTATTATTATTTATAAACTAGTGGACCCAACAGACGTTGTCCTGCATATCCACTTGAATGTATAAAAATTCATTCAAATTAGTTTAGCTGTTTACGATAAATAACCTAAACAACGACTGCAGCGCCATCTGCCGGGCTGATTTGTGAATCTAACCCGTTCCGAGATTTAATTTTATTTTATTTGTAAGCTTCATGCACAAAATGTACATAAGGTGGACTATTAAGTCCACCTTATGTACATTTTGTATATAAGGTGGACCTTTGGGTGATGAAGAGAAGAGATCCCCTTGAACACACACAAAAATGTCATCAAAATCGGTCCAGTCGTTTTAGAAAAGTTCAGTGACATACACACGCACAGCAGAATCCTTATTCCTTACTTATATTATAAATCGGAAAGTGAGTTTGTTTGTTTGTTTGTTCCACTTTAACGCCGTAACTACTAAACCGATTGCTTTGAAATTTTGCAGACGTAAAGTTACAAGTCCGGATTAAATAATAGGGTACTTTTTATCCCTGAAAAATTTCATATTCCCGAGGGAAAACAAAAGTATTGGTATAGATGGCGCTGTGTGTATTGGTATATGTTACATTGGCTTTTTATCCTTTTGTGACGCGAGCGAAGCCGCGGGTAAAAGCTAGTTATATACATATAGAAGATAAGAATTCTGGGATTGAGGAGAAAAATGAGTGTTGTTTTAAATTTTCCTACCTATATAATGGTTAAGCATTGCCATACAACGTGGCAATGCTGCCAGCTGTCTAGGTACTTTTCCTACTGACGTCGATGCGGACGAATTTTCCAATGCTTTGTGTAAATACGTTATTTTTAGTTTATTTTATTTTATGTTTATCTTAAGGTGTATATATTGCTAAGTTTATTTTTGACGTGACAACGTCTTATAAATTGGTTTGCCGGGTGACACTTCAAGAAACTGCGTTACGCTCCGCTCATGATATGCGCTCACAATGAGAGCGAGTGAGAGGCACGCGTCCCTTCCACTCGGGCATGGTTAGCCCGCCTAAGAGTGAGAGAGACAGACATAAAAAGTGAAAGGCACGCGTCCCTTCCACTTGAGCACAGTTAGCCCGCCTAAGAGCGAGAGAGACAGAGCGAGAGAGAGAGAGTGAGAGAGAGAGAGTGAGAGAGATACATCCTTCTTCCTACTATACGAATGAATATTCACATTAAAATTATTTTACCACTCAAAGTCGTTGTCACGTAAAACTTTCGCCCGTATACCGACTTTACAGGCAACCAATTTTTTATATTTCAGATTCTTCAGCTGCAAATGAATAATGAGAATTATCATTACGTCTTCACTTCTTTTGTAAGTATCTTTCATTAATTTCTGCTTCTTCAGCAAAAAAGGTATTCTATTTCAAGGCTCATGATAAAATGTGTATGTTGAAAGTGAGGATGTCATTTCATTTATGTCTGACCCTTTTTATGAGATAAGCCGGTAAGCGAGCAGATGGATCACCTGATGGTAAGCAATCGGCGTCGACAATGGACATCTGGAACACCAGAGGCATTACAAGTGCGTTGCCGGTCTTTTAGGGATTAGGAATTTGAGGTTTTTTGGGGATTCAGGGATCGGGAAGATTAGGGAAAGGAGTAATTAGGCCTCCGGTAACCTCACTCACACGACGATACGCAACGCAAGTGTTGTTTCACGTCGGTTTTCTGCTCGGCCGTGGTATCACTCCGGTCGAGCCGGCCCATTCGTGCCGAAGCATGGCTCTCCCACACTTGATCTACAGAGAATATATCAAGAATATAGTTATTATTATTAATCAGGTAACATTATAATTATCATTTCGCTATTTAGGGCCTTATAAAAAATAAAATCTCAAAAATGACTGCACGGTTGGTGCGGTGGCTGGGCAACCGGCTGCCGTGCAACGTGTCGCGGGTTCCATTCCCGCACGGAGCAACTCTTTGTGTGATCCACAAATTGTTGTTTCGGGTCTGTGTGTCATGTGTATGTGAACTTGTATGTTTGTAAACGCACACACGACACAGGAGAAAATCCTAATGTGGGGCAACGTTTTTTAAAAAATATATAAAATACAAAAATATACATTAAAAATTCCAGGACTTCGAGCTATTTGACATGGAAGACTTTTATTATAACCGCGTCAATATGAGCGGGTGGAGACTGGTAGACAGAGACTCTGATAAAGTCAAGGAGTCTCTCCAGGTTATGGAGAAGTTCCATCCTATTGGAGCTTCCATCATCAGCGGGGGACATATTAAGGTAATGTAGAAGATATAGATATTATATTATTGGTACCATTGTTCTTTATATAGGTGGTAACCAGTTATCAACTCATACGTAGTTAGCATGACATACGAGGACTCGGCCAACGAGGGAGTCTTCAAGCACTGGTCGAGTGTTATAAAATGCGTAATTTGAGCATTTCAATGACATAACATCAAGAAAGAAAGAAAAAAAAACATTTATTCGACAGTAGACAGTCAACATCACGTATTTTATCCCCGAAGTGTTAGGCAGAGGTGCACATCACTTAATGCCACTGTACAATGTAACACCCACTTTTCACTATTTGTGTTATGAGTCCCATGTAATAGGGGATGAGCCTATTGCCATTATACTGGGCACAATTCCAGACTCCGTGCTACCACTGAGAATTTTTTAAAACCCAGTAATACTTTGCCCGCCCCGGGAATCGAACCCGAAACCCCTTGTCCGGCAGTCACACTTGCGACCACTCGGCTAACGAGGCTGATCAATCAATGACATCAAAGATATCGAATTTCGTGCAGTGGTTTTTAGTAGGCGACTTTAAGTTTTTAGTGACATTCAAAAGTGCCACTCTGGCCTAATTGAAATAAATGATTTTGACTTTGACTTTGACTTTAGTGGCTTTTACTCGATATGAAATCTGTAGACTTCTCTGCAGCTTTAAAGGCGTCCAATTTTCTATTTTCCAGACGGAACCAGCTCTCCTGTACGACGCTGTTCAGATCCTGTGCCAGGCTCTCGCCATCACTGAAGACTTCCACCCAGGAAACGTGTCCTGTGATAAAGACATACCTTGGAACCATGGGAAAACTATTTATGATAATATTAATAATGTGAGTAATAAACTATCAATCTTATAACATAACATCATGTCATACCTTTTATCCCTGAAGGTGTAGGCAGAGGTAAACATTACGGCACTTAATGCCACTCTATAATGTAACACCCACTTTTCACTATTAGACTCGTTGGCCGAGTGGTCGCAAGTGCGACTGTCGGGCAAGGGGTCTCGGGTTCGATTCCGGGTTGGGCAAAGTATTAATGGGTTGTCTAAAAAAATCATAGTAGTAACACGGAGTCTGGAAATGTGCCCAGTATATGGCAATAAAATTACTCCTATTACATGAGACTCATAACATAAATAGTGAAAAGTGGGTGTTACATTATCAATCTATCAATCTATCAATCTGTTAATCCATCAATTTATCAATCCTTCAATCGTACGATCTTTCAATCCTTCAATAAATATCTCCAACATATTTTAGTCCGTCAATTCATCAATCCATTAATCCTTCATTCCATCAATCTTTCATTCCATGAAACCATTTATCTATCAGTCTATCAATCAATCAATCTAAAAATCCATCATAATTTTTACCATAAAATCCAATATCCCTTTACAGATCCAAGCGCACGGCCTAACAGGACCAATAGAATTCAAGAATGGAGTGCGAACGAATTTCCACCTTCAGCTCATGAGGCTAACTGGTGGAGAGAAGGGGGGAATGGTGGTATCTGGACATTGGACCCCGGGGGAGGGGCTGGCCATTACTGACCCCGCCGCGTACACTAGGGACCCGCCACCTAATGTTACTTTGACTGTGGTGACTGTTGAAGTAAGTATTGGAATTTAATAATTTAATAATAATAATAAATACGTAATTAATAAAAAAGCAAGATTCCCCAAATTGTGAAATATGTGGTATTATTGATGACTAGCTTTTACCCGCGGCTTCGCTCGCGTCACAAAAGGATAAAAAGCCAATGTGACATATACCAATACACACAGCGCCATCTATACCAATACTTTTGTTTTTCCTCGGGAATATCAATTTTTCCGGGTTAAAAAGTACCCTATTATTTAATCCGGACTTCTAACTTTACGTCTGCAAAAATTCAAAGCAATCGGTTTAGTAGTTACGGCGTGAAAGCGGAACAAACAAACAAACTCACTTTCCGGTTTATAATATTAATATAGTAAATAGTAATATAGTAATGTCCAACACATGATAATAGAATGTTTCAAATATGTTGCAGGCCGAGAATCACTGATACTTGAATTTAAATTGAATGCGTTAGATGTTGGTTGTTTTTTTTCATCTATTCTAGCGAATTCCACTTCGTCTGCAGCCATTGCCCTATACAAGATCTTCATGCATCAGTGATACTTTGACCAATTTAGTTAATTAAGCATGTTAGATGTACGATAATATGTCCTAACGGGGCTGACATGTTCCTAAACGAAAAGTCCCTAAAACCATAGACATAACATAACATAACATAACATCACGCCTTTTATCCTCAAAGGGGTAGGCAGAGGTGCACATTATACCACTGTACAATGTAACACCCACTTTTCACTATTTATGTTATGAGTCCCATGTAATAATGGGTGAGCCTATTGCCATATACCGGGCACAATTCCAGACTCCGTGCTACTACTGAGAATATTTAAAAACCCAGTAATACTTTGCCCGACCCGGGAATCGAACCCGAGACCCCTTGCCCGGCAGTCGCATTTACGACCACTCGGCCAACGAGGCAGTCTCTAAAACCATAGACAATAAAATAATAATAATAATAATCAATTATAGATGACTCTGTTTTAAACCTTGTGGTGATTGAGAAATAATGCAGAAAGAGAAACAGTTTATTTTTGGATAAAACACCTGATGGTAAGCAATCGGCGCCGCTGGCCTTTTGAGGATTTTTGGGATTCAGGAATTAAGGAGATTGTGGAGGAGGGGGATAATAGGGCCTTCGGTAACCTCACTCACACGACAAAAGCTAACACTACGCAAGCGTTGTTTCACGTTGGTTTTCTACTCCGGTAATGTACTCTCTTGTCAGTTCTTATGACACTACGGAGGAGGACTCCCGCGGAAACAAGTGACAGATGGAGGTAAAAAATATACTTCCAGCTTCGTCCCTGCATTACCAGCAAAACCTTTTTAACGTAATACCACGCCTTTTATCCCCGAAGGGGTAGGCAATGAATGAAATGAAAAGAGTTTTATTCGGCATACGGCATGAATGCAAGGAACAAAAAATAACAATAGTTACAATACAATTTGATAAAACAACTAAAAAAAAAGTAGTAGGAAGAGGTGCACATTACGGCACTTAATACCACCGTACAGTCTAACACCCACATTTCACTATTTATGTTATGAGTCCCATGTAATAGGGGGTGAGCCTATTGCCATATACCGGGCACAATTCCAGACTCTGTGCTACCACTGAGAATTTAAAAAGCCCTTTCTGAAACCCATTTTGGAATTTAAACTGTCAAACACCGAGCGGTCACCGGTGACTGCGACCTATTGTTCTTTAATTGTGTCTATAATGACGGTACTCAACGAGTTAATTCTCTGAACCAATTGTCACCAGGAAAAGCCCTACGTGATGGTGAAAGAAGGTTGGAACTTGCAAGGGAACGCTCGATTCGAAGGGTTCTGCATAGACCTTCTGGCTAGGGTTGCTGCAAGAGCTGGTTTCCACTACCGTCTTCGGCTGGTCCCTGACAACATGTATGGAGCTAGAGACCCTGATACTGGACACTGGAATGGAATTGTTAGGGAGCTGATGGATAGGGTAAGTAGACCAAAACATATTGAATTTTTCATGGTATAGGCGGCAAACGACCATCAGATCACCTGATGGTAAGTCAAAGACAAAGTCAAAGTCGAAGCATTTATTTCAATTAAACCATAGTTTGGTACTTTTGAAACGTCAACAAATACAAAATAAATAATAGTCTGTCAGTCAGTCCGTCAGTGAAACTAGGTGAAGCTAGGTGCTCATTCCAAAAAGAAGATTCGAATGGAGAAGAACGAGCAAGAAACTCCATTCGTTACTCTTTTTAAAAAAAGTATGTCCTACAATGTCTCTGATACATTTTCCAATACTGTACGTATATGTGAGAACAATGCAAAGACACGCTTGACGCATTATACTAATAACTTACTAAAATTAAAAAAAATAAAAATCTTAAAGTCCAACATGGTGCTCACATATGCATACTGACAAACAATTACCAATTAGCTAACCCACCTGCAGCAAGCGGTGTGATAAATGCTCAAACCTTCTCCGTGTGAGAAGAGGCTTTGGTAAACAGTGGCCCATTATAGGTTGTTGATGATGATAAAGTAATTATCCTCGCCCAAGGATACCTACAAGTGGTTTTACAAGATCGTTGCCGGCCTTTTGGGGATTCGGAGATTGGAGATTTGGAAATTGAGGAAGAGACGATTGAACCTAAAATACGATACCCCTATACCAATACACCTACATTTTAATGGTTTATGTCTGATCATAGTTTTTTAACAAACACATTTACAATTAGGTAGTTTGCTGGGTCAAAAATAAATTATTTTGTAGTAATTTCGAATCGGAGTATTGAATCCTGAAAGTAACAGGTGCAATGGGTGATTATTCAGGAGATGACCATGACCACTCAGTTGCCACGCCCAGAATGATGAAGCGGAAAATAAGCACCTAACTTTACCTGGCAGGCAATGGATGTGGCTGATGGTCACGAGAACAGATATATAGCAGAAAAAAAATGTCTGATATAAAATTAGATAAACATGTGTACAACGTTACACGATACTGTATTGTTTCAGAAAGCTGATATAGCAGTGGCTTCAATGACAATAAACTACGCGAGGGAAGCTGTCATAGATTTCACGAAGCCTTTCATGAATCTTGGAATCGGAATATTGTTTAAGGTACGTCCGTGATGTAAATAGGTATATAATCTGTGTAGAGATGGTCCAGTTTAGAAATGAAAGACAGTGTGAAATGTGTGAATAAGCAAATTTTAAGTGTGGGAGAGCCATGCTTCGGCACAAATGGGCCGGCTTGACCGGAGTGATACCACGGCCGAGCAGAAAACCGACGTGAAACAACGCTTGCGTTGTGTTTCGTCGTGTGAGTGAGGTTATCGAAGGCCCAATAGGCCCGGTCACGCAAAGTACATATTACTGGTTTTTTTGTTATCTCAGTAGTAGCACGGAGACTACAACTGACTTCCTGGGTCAAAAAAATATTTTGATTTTTCAGTACCATTAAACATTTAAAAATAGTTACACTTTAGGGAACAGAGAGTATAGTTCCCTAAGATCGGAAAAGGAGGATCCTCCGACCAGGCGAGGTGATCGTGCCTGGCGGGCTTTCTACCCCAACAGTTGTTCGTTGGGATTTTCTATCCGTGTTTATTCGCTTGTAAACTTTGCATGTGCGATGTAGGATTCTTGTGACGTCATCTGTTGACATGTGGCATGCGTCGCCACATCACTCCCTTCCAAGACCGGAGGTCGATCCTGCTGAGACGACTGTCGATGCTTGAGATGAGCGGTGCCAGAGCCAGTGTAGAACGTCCCTAGTTCCAGTGGGTCGGAACCGTGCCGCTGAGTGCCCAGTGAGTCGGGTGAGCGGTGCAGGGTGAAACTCCAGTGAGTCGGAGAGGTGAGTTCGCAGTGTCCCCCGGTGAGTCGGGGAAGAGATGCTGCGAGGGTAGGTGCGTAGTGGCTGGCGTCTGCGTTGACGGGAGGAGATGTCCTTCAGAACCGTGTGCAGAAGTGCTGTGCCTAGACGCTGGTGAGGCCGTAGGGAAGAACCAGGCTGCACAACTTCGTTGCAGGTGATGGTGGTCCCTGATGAGGCCGAGGATGCTGGTTGGCTGCGACTTGATTACCGCTCAGCGGAGAAGTAATGAATGAGAGGGATGGCGATACGGATGACGGTGCTGATCAGCTCCGTGAAGTGAAGGTTGCTTCCAATCACGTCGGGGTCACCACTTTAGGGAACAGAGAGTATAGTTCCCTAAGATCGGAAAAGGAGGATCCTCCGACCAGGCGAGGTGATCGTGCCTGGCGGGCTTTCTGCCCAACAGTTGTTCGTTGGGATTTTCTATCCGTGTTTATTCGCTTGTAAACTTTGCATGTGCGATGTAGGATTCTTGTGACGTCATCTGTTGACATGTGGCATGCGTCGCCACAACACTTTCATTCATTGGTTGCCGATATACTTAATTTTCGATCTAACTATTCTAAATATGATGACGTCATATGATGGTACAAAATTCGTCATATGGTTCGTACAAAATTCATAGAACAGTATCGTTTTTGACGTTTCGATAAAAGTATTGAATTTGACTAGTTGTGTACCGTATTGTGTCCGGTATATGGCAATAGGCTCGCCCCCTATTACATGGGACTCATAACATAAATAGTGAAAAGTTTACATTGTGACGTTAAGTGCCGTAATATGCACCTCTGCCTGTATTTTATGAAATATTTTTGGTTCCAGGTCCCCACCTCCCAACCGACTCGTCTCTTCAGCTTCCTGAACCCTCTTGCTATAGAGATCTGGTTGTATGTCCTCGCTGCGTACATTCTCGTGTCTTTTACGCTGTTTGTCATGGCGCGGTTCTCGCCATATGAGTGGTAAGTTCCGTTTTTTTTTCATAAGCTTCCTTGTGCGTACTGCTAAGTAGTGGATTTCTTTGCCAGAGTCTGTGTTTCCTGAAGGATATAACCTGGGAGTCTTCAAGGCCCGAGTGAATAGGTTGCTTATGGGACGACGTGCTCCATCGTAGACCGCATCATCGCTTACCACCAGGCGAGATAGTGGTCAAACGTCGCCCCATCAAATATATCAAAAAAATAACTGACTTCAAAAATGAGTAGGTTCTCAATTTGACCACTATGAATGTATGTATGTATACACGGTGTATTTTTGAAAGTGTACAATCTTCTAGGATATGATTCTACCCATAAAAATCAAAAATCAAATATATGTATGAAGAATCAAATTTATATATATATATATATATAAGAAAAAGAGAGCGAGAGAGAGAGAGAGAGAGAGAGGAAGAAAGAGAAGAACACAGCATAAATAATACACCCAAGAAAAAAATTTTTGTTAACTGCTTTCAAAAGTCTTCATATTTAACTTCCAGGTCTACCAGCACCCACGTATGTGGTCATGAGACGAAACTCCTGACGAACCAGTTCAACGTCTGCAACTCCTTCTGGTTCATCACTGGCACCTTCCTGAGGCAAGGGTCTGGGCTGAACCCGAAGGTATCAGAAATTTTATTTTCATTAGTACAAGAATTACTATTCATATCTCTTTGGTTGAGTGGTTAAATACGCGACTGGCGAGAAAGGGGTCGTGCAGGTCAAATCCCGGGTCAAGTAAAATATTGTAGGGCTATCCTGTAAAATCCTCATAGCATAAATGTTGAAAATTGGGTGTTATATTGTATAATAATCCACTTCCGTCCACCCCTTCGACAAGGAAATCGATTTTAAGACCTCTTGCTTGACGGTCTCGTATTCCTTTTTAAAAGGCCGGCAACGCACCTGTTACTCCTCTGGTGTTCCGGGTGTCCATGGGCGGCGCTGATCGCTTACCATCACGTGGTCCGTCTGCTCGTTTGCCTTCAGTTCCATAAAAAAAGATCCTATCTGGGACCACTAGACCAAAAATGTGGTTTATTTAAAAACTGAAAGAAAGAAGAAAGAAAGAAAGAAAGAAAAACCATTTATTCTTGCGCGTTTTGCGCAAGAATAAATGGTTACACATAACATAACCAAAAATAATATAAAATAAAAGCTAAAAATATAAAATGAAGTGAAGTCTTGTCCATGGTCCACAGACTTATTCTTTACTGAAATGAAATGATAGAATACTTAATATCTAACATTATCTGTAGACCATAGACAAGGGACACCCTACTTACTTCATGCATGCATTTCATAAAATTGGATGGAGTATATTATTATATAAAAGTTGCAGCTTTCCTTTTAGACTACTGAACGACTTTTATTAGTTTAACTACCTACTTCCGCTCTGTTTAATTATCGTAGTGTTATATTTCTTAGCGTGTAGACTTTCTCAATAAACGTACTACCCAACATAAAAAAGAATTATTCAAATGGGTCTAGTAGTTCCGGAGATTGGCGCGTTCAACAAAGAAACTCATCAGCTTTATAAGTGAGGAAATATTGAAAATTAGTACCTACTTCCCCTAGTTTTTATATGATGTATACAATAAAAATGAAAAAAAATTCTCTCTATTAAATAAAGAACGCGGGTTACTCACGTGAAAATACTGAAAAAAGCACTATTAGTTTCTTCATGTTTACTAGAGTAAGCTGTGCGACATCGCCACGACCGCATGCTGCTCATGACAAAGAGCTCGGGAGCTCGAAACTAAACTCAAACTCAAAAGCATTTATTTCAATTAAACCATAAATTTGGTAAAGCCAAAATATAAAATAAACAATAGTCTGTCAGTCTATCCGTCAGTGAAGCTAGGCGCTTGTTCCAAAAAGTAGATTCCAGTGGAGTAGAACAAGCAAGAAACTCCATTCCTCCTCCTAGTCGATCTTCTCAGTATATTCACGAGAGTAGCCCGCAATTTTTAGTTAATTTAGTAAATTTATTCTCACGATAGGTAGGTATTATAAGAACATTTTATTTGTCTTCCAGGCGACCTCGACCCGCATAGTAGGTGGTATATGGTGGTTCTTCACCCTGATCATCCTGTCTTCGTACACTGCCAACCTGGCCGCCTTCCTCACTGTAGAGCGGACAGTACTGCCCATACAGAGCGCTGCTGACCTCGCCGCGCAGACCAGTATACAATATGGCACCCTCAATGGAGGATCCACTATGTCATTTTTTAGGGTAAGTTGAAGAAGAGCATTTGTCTCCTGGTACATACTCGAAATGTCGTGGTGGGCCGGAGGTTTAAGATGCCCGCTTCTCATGCATGAGAGTGCGAATACACGGCAACGGCAAGTACCAATGTGACTTTTTCCGAGTTATATGTACTTTCTAAGATGATCTAGACACCACTGGTAAACGGTGAAGGAAAACATCGTGACGAATTTTTTTTTTGCGAGTGGAAAATCATCCAATGACTTCTCCCGCCCGGATGAGGCGGGAGGGGGTGTCAGACTCTTACTGACTAAAAACCACCCCGTTCCTTCTCCTGCACTTCAAGCCGGAGCCCCGGCAATCCGTTGAGTCTTCCGCGGCTCCGTATCGGCATCAGCCCTGTTGGGCCCCATCTGTGGTGGTCTGATGGCTCCTTGAGGCGCATGCAGTCTCGGATCTGGTTCTGGTCGAACGGGGAGTCACCAAAACAAACCTAGATTTATAATTTTCAAACATCGTGAAGAAACCTGGGCTTATAAATTCTAATTATAAGTTTGTAATCGTCAACCCGCATTGAGCAAGCGTGGTGATTAATGCTCAAACCTTCTCCGTGTGAGAAGAGGCTTTGTCAGCAGTGGGCATTTATAGGCTGTTGATGATGATGATGACATTCTTACATAATCTCATGCCTGTCTCACATGGGGGTAGGTACAGGTACAGACTATGGAACGCCAATCGGGTACTTCCCTTAATGAAAACTAAATTATTTCGTCTGTTCAATACAATATAATATTAAAAAACACACTTTTTTAAATCAATTTTATGACCAACTTAATTTTAGTATTTTTCAAACAAATTTTTAGGAAATAAAAATAAATAAAAAATAATAAATAAAATAAAATTTATTCATAATTCAAAAATGCAAAATACAAAAATATGTTTCAAGTAAGTAAAATTGATCTCATAAAGTTAGATGCCTGCACTAGGATAATCCTGTATCGCAGGCGAAAGGAGCTCTATACATTACACTTATAGGAAGACATCTTATTTCTAAAAACGTAACTACATACTTTTCATTATGCAAAAGTAAACAATATCATTATTTTAATATACATACATACATACAAAATAAAACCTCATACTCTACATACTCATAAGAGATAGGCAGAGGTGCATATTTAAGATATAATAGTTTGATGTTTAAAAACCGTGACATCACAATACAATAATCTGGTACAAAATTCGTAGAATACTGTTGTTTTTGACTGTCCGAAAAACTTATTGAATTTGACTAGTTGACAAAATTAAATACCGTATTGCTACGATTCCGTTTTTTTTTTTGAGGGGGGAAAATCATCCAATGACTGCTCCCGCCCGGGTGAGGCGAGAGGGAGTGTCAGACTCTTACTGACTAAAAAACCACCCCGTTCCTACTCCTGCCCTTTGAGCCGGAGCCCCGGCAACCCGTTAAGTCTTCCGCGGCTCATTACTACGATTCTTACATACCTCTTTCGCTTCATTAACAGTCATCAATCTTTTCATGCATGCTCGTTGGTTAAGGGTACTTTTAATTTGGCCCTTGTTTAATATATCACCAATCTGATCAATATAATAATGAAGAGAACCTTAGACATTGTATACAGGGTGACTTGTTATTCGACGTATTTCTCTCGGGAGGTGATAGTATAACTAATTTCCTACTTTGACTTCCGACTTTGACTTTATCCTTATTGACAAAACATAAATAGTCATATAATGGGGATGATGACAGGGTATGATAATTAAAAATATAATTAGTCCGTAAGTTAGGTAATGAAAAAATATTAGACACGTATTTTTTTATTTTGTCGTATAATAAAACAATACTTAGATAAAACGAATCAAAGTTTAGGAGTGGGGGCTAAAACGTCATTTCTTAGTATAAAATGTACTGAGAAGTGACGTCACGCGACATTTCAAATCAATATATCTTCGAAACTATTCGTTTCTGTGAGAAAATAAAAAATACGTGTCTAATGTTTTTAAATAATCTACCAGACGGACATTAAAATAAAAATTAGTCGTCTACCCTATTGTCTCAAAATTCCAGGATTCCAACATAGACATATACCAGAAGATGTGGCTACATATGTCCAGTGCATCCCCCCCAGCGCTAGTGTCCTCCTATGAGGAGGGAGTCAGGAGGGTACTCGCAGGGAACTATGCATTCCTCATGGAGTCCACCATGTTGGACCATAGAGTCCAGAGGGACTGTAATCTGACGCAAATTGGGGGACTGTTAGATTCTAAGGTAAGGAGATTTAAAAGATTTAATTAGTAGGTCTTTAATTTGTTTAATTATACCAATATGAACACATCGGCTTTTTGGGGATTAAGAGTTTGAGGATCGTTGGGGATTCAGGGATTGGGGAGATTGGGGAAGGGGAGGGTAATTGGGCCTCCGGTAACCTCACTCACACCACGAAACACAACGCAAGCGTTGCTTTACGTCGGTTTTCTTCTCGGCCGTGGCATCACTCCGGTTGAGCCGGCCCATTCGTGCCGAAGCAAGGCTCTCCTACACTTTATGAAGTTGGAATACTGTATGATATTTTTACCGTGGTAGATGTGCATGATTGCTCATAAATCCGTATCTAAGTAATTGTAATACCCATTTTCAACCGTGTTAAAAGGTGCATTTAAATCCTTACTATTATAAATGGGAAAGTGGGTAAAATTAGAAGTCCGGATTAAATAATAGGGTACTTTTTATCCCGGAAAAATTTGATATTCCCGAGGGAAAACAAAAGAATTGGTATAGATGGCGCTGTTTGTATTGGTATATGTCACATAGGCTACTTTTATCCTTTTGTTACGCGAGTGAAGCCGCGGGTAAAAGCTAGTAGTACTATATTATTCATGTAAATATCGTTTATTGTCAAATGAGTTAAAGTGATTTTTAGTCCATTTTTAAGTTTTGTTCATAATGAAATGTTGAAACAATTTGTTAGTAGAAATGAAGTAAGTAGGGTGTACCTTGTCTACGGTCCACAGATAATATTAAATATTAAGTATTCTATCATTTCAGCAAAATAATAAGTCTGTGGACCATGGACAAGACTTCATTTTTCATTTTTTAGCTTATAATTTAAACTAGCTTTTACCCGCGGCTTCGCTCGCGTCACAAAAGGGTAAAAAGTAGCCTATGTGACATATACCAATACACACAGCGCCATCTATACCAATACATTTGTTTTCCCTCGGGAATATCACATTTATGCAGGATAAAAAGTACCCTATTATTTAATCTGTACTTCGAACTTTACGTCTGCAAAAATTCAAAGCAATCGGTTTAGTAGTTACGGCGTGAAGGTGGAACAAACAAACAAACAAACAAACTCACTTTCCGATTTATAATATTAAGTAAGGATTCTATCATTTCAGCAAAATAATAAGTCTGTGGACCATGGACAAGACTTCACTTTTTAATTTTTTAGCTTTTAGTTTATTTTATTTTTATTTTTTAATTAAGTTATGTGTGTTCTGCGCAAAAATAAATGGTTTTTCTTTCTTCTTTCTTCTTCTTTCTTTTCGACTAAAGATAAAACCTTCGAGCCTCTGTTCCTCAAAATATCCCTCTCATCGTTCCAGGGTTACGGCATAGCAACCTGGAAAGGCAGTCCATGGAGAGACAAGATCTCACTAGCTATCCTCGAACTACAGGAGAAAGGGGTGATCCAGATATTGTATGACAAATGGTGGAAGAATACGGGAGATGTCTGCAATAGAGATGGAAAAGACAGCAAGGCTAATCCTTTAGGAGTACAGAACATTGGTAAGTTAATAGTACCTATAGTTGAGTTATGGCGTATAACATAACATCACGACTGGACTGGACTGCCTCGTTGGCCGAGTGGTCGCAAGTGCGACTGCCGGGAAATGGGTCTCGGGTTCGATTCCCGGGTCGGCAACGGCAATAGGCTGACCCCCTATTACATGGGACTCATAACAGGAATAGTGAAAAGTGGGTGTTACATTGTACAGTGGCATAATGTGCACCTCTGCCTACCCCTTCGGGGATAAAAGGCGTGATGTTGTGGTATTATAACATCACGATTTTTATCCCCGAAGAGGTGAGACAGAAGTGCATATTACGGCCCACCTTTCACTATTTATGTTATGAGTCCCATGTAATAGGGGGTGAGCCTATTGCCATATACCGGGCACAATTCCAGACTCCATGCTACTACTGAGAATATTTTTAAACCCCAGTAATACTTTGCCCAATACTTTGGCAATCACAGTTGCGACCACTTGGCCAACGAGGCAGTTTGAAATTAGCTTGAACCGATATTATAAATGCGAAAATATATGAGTTTGTGTTTATGTGTATGTTTGTTACACCAAAATTATGTTATTAATAACAAAAGGTAGAAAGAAACCGCAACTTTTCTCACGATTTTAGGTTTTTGTTAATTTTGGTGTTGAATAATTTTATTTTATGCTCTTTCTTACATCTTAAAATATTCATTGTTGAAAACAACAAAGGTTTTAATTTTGTTTGGTTTTGTGTTAAATTTAAGAAATAAAATCACGGAACGAAATCAATTGTTTGCTGTATTAATAACAATTATATTAAATGTAATATATAAATATACCAAAACTGGAACCGGAACTTTCCCGCAAAAAATGTTGTAGTAAGGAAGTGTCCACTTTTTGTATTTGTTCCTTGAAGTTTAGGTAAATTAGCTCACCTTTTTTCGATTACTGGTTATAACACATAGGTTACTTTTTAACTCTGGGAACGCGGGCGAAGCCGCTGCCAGAAGCAGGTTTAGATTAAATTCATAATGCTCAGAGAAAAATAAGCTACTAGAAGTAGTACTAGAAGAGATAAGGACGAGAGAGATGAAGAGATTGATGCATGTTGAATAGCCTCGGGTATCGTAAGGGTTCAGTTGGTGGCACCGCGATTCAGAAAACAGTAAGCAAATAAAAAGCGCCATCTATGGACGAATGTTAGAACTCGTAGAAAACTCTGAATCTCGGGTTTCTTATATAACCATTGCTTGACGGTTATAGACAAAATGTAGATGAAACGAAAGAGGTATGTCAGAATCGTCGTATAATGACGTTTCATTGACTCTACCTGTTGCGATGGTAGGCAGGCATACCAATAATAATGTAGACTAAATATATACTAGAGGACCCGACAGACGTTGTCCTGCATATCCACTTGATTATATAAACAAATATGCATTCAAATTAGTTCAGCCATTTAGAATAACTAACCTAGACACTGAGTGCAGCGCCATCTGCCGGGCTGTTTTGTGAATCTAAACCATCCAGGACGCCACTCAAACGCGTACAGAATAAATTCATTTAAATCGGTCAAGCCGTTTAGGACAAGTTTAATGACATACACACGTACAACAGAATTATGTATATCTACTATATAAAAATAAGTCCGGGTTTCCTTCCTGACGCTATAACTCCGGAACGGACGAACCGATTTTCACGGTTTTCCATTCGTTGGAAAGGTCTCGGGCTCCGTGAGGTTTATAGCAACGAAAATTCAGGATCTTGACGTGACAACGTCTTATAAATTGGTTTGCCGGGTGACACTTCAAGAAACTGCGTTACGCTCCGCTCACGTTATGCGCTCACAATGAGAGCGAGTGAGAGGCACGCGTCCCTTCCACTCGGGCATGGTTAGCCCGCCTAAGAGCGAGAGAGACAGACATAAAAAGTGAAAGGCACGCGTCCCTTCCACTCGAGCACAGTTAGCCCGCCTAAGAGCGAGAGAGACAGAGCGAGAGAGAGAGAGTGAGAGAGATAGGCAAACACACCGGTTCATGTCTTGCGCTTCATTATTTCATCCTTCTTCCTACAATGCGAATGAATATTCACATTAAAATTATTTTACCACTCAAAGTCGTTGTCACGTAAAACTTTCGCCCGTATATTTTTTTTAACGAAATGTTACATAAACCGAACCCGTCTGGTGGCGAAACGGAGTTCGCCGGGTTTGCTAGTATATATATATATATATATATATATATATATAGAGATTATAGTAATGTATGTAAGTACAATTAGTACACAGAAGCCCTTCGAAGTCTTTACTATTTCAAATCTTTTGTGACCAGGTGGAGTATTCGTAACACTACTCTGTGGGTTGGCTCTGGCGATAGTTGTGGCCATACTCGAGTTCTGCTGGAACACGAAGAAGAACGCAAGCCAGGGGAGACAGTCACTATGCAGTGAGATGGGACAGGTGAGGAAACACACACACACACAAGATCTCGCCTTTTATCCCCAAAGGGGTACACAGAGATGCACATTACGGCACTTACGTCCGAATACTGAAATGTTACTTAAACTCATGGTAGATGTTCCACCCACACGCACGAAGCGCTTCGCTTCAAGCTTCCTTGTGCGTCCTGCTAAAGAGTGGAATTCTTTGCCAGAGTCTGTATTTCCTGAAGGGTATAACCTGGGTGTCTTCAAGGCCCGAGTGTATAGGTTGCTTATGGGACGACGTGCTCCATCGTAGACCGCATCATCGCTTACCATCAGGTGAGATAGTGGTCAAACGTCGCCCCATCAAATATATATAAAAAAAATTAAGTCGTGCTCAAATATCGTGCCATCTCTGTCATTTTACAAAGAATATGTAGTGACAGAACTATAGTTAAGCGTGACTTAAAATTGAGTAACGTTTCAGTATTCGGGCGTTAATGCCACTGTACAATGTAACTCCCACATTTCACAATTTATGTTATGAGTCCCATGTAATAGGGGGTGAGCCTATTGCCATATACCGGACACAATTCCAGACTTTGTGTTACTACTGAGATTTTTTTAAATAATATGTAATAGTTACATATAAGATGAGATATTTATATGTGAAAGCCATTACACTGACTTTTGGCTCCTCACATTACAGGAGTTACGGACAGCGATGCGAGGTGGTTCCTCCAGTAGAACAGTGCTTCGACCTGGATGTTCCAGGTGCTCGCCAGCCACACATGTGCCTCCATCTTCTTCTAGATACCAGGTCAGATTGCTGTTAATTTTTGGTATATTTTTACTATGTTATTTTTTTTAGTAGTGCATAGTTTTAAGTAAGGCCTTTGACTGTATCTCTCTTTTCTCCCTCAGTCCCGCAGTAGCAGCGTGGAGCTGAAGGAGCTCCGTTGGTCGTAGCGGCGCGGCGGGCGCGGGCCTGCCTCCGCGCCCGCCTCGCCCGCGCGACATATTCCGCCGCCACCGTTACACTGTAGTAAGTATTTTGATCTTTTTTTAATGGTACAAGCCTCCAGAATCCGCGGAAACTCCTGTGAACCAGGATCTATTATAGATAAAACCATGCAAACACCGAAACTGCTTGTAAAGTTAAAAAAAAATCGAAAAGTATTTTGATTTAGTTCAGCCGCACCGTCTTGGCCGTCACAGCATTGTAATGAGTGTTCCGCAGTCGCGGAGAACCTAGCGGGTAACCGGGGCTCCGGCTCGACGTGCAGGAGAAGGAACGGGGTGGTTGTTAGTCAGTAAGAGTCTGACACTCCTTCCCGCCTCACCCGGGCGGGAGCATTCGATGATTTTCCCCCCTTAAAAAAAAGAGTGTTCCGCAAGGAGATGTTTTGGGTCCAATGCTGTATTTTTTGGAGTTATAATGAAATGATTTAATCCATAATTACACAACCGTGTCATTCATAATTCTACCTGATTATTTAATTTTTTTTTCACAGATTCAGTCGGTTCTCTAAGAAGAACGACATCCTACGTGTTGAAAGAGCCTCGCGAGAAGAAACATGTTCAAATTATCGCATAACCTTAATAACAGGTTTACAAAACGAGTGTGTAAACTAAATAAACTAAAAAGGCCTACAAATGTAAAATTTAATGTAAACAACTGTAAACGTAAATTAAAAAATAAATGTAAATGTAAAAATGAAAACTAAAAACGTGTTAAATTGTGAGTGTGTGAGTTTTTAAAAGCGTTTTATTTTTATTTAATAAAAATATTGTTGAAAGTGTGTTTTTTAAAAGGTTTTTTGTGTGTTGTTGTTGTTTAAGATAAAGTATTATGTTATATATAACTTATATTATATATACAAGGTGTAGTTTTGAAGCCGTGTCATTTCTCGGGGACATGTCACAGAAGTCATAAAGGTTCAATGTAAGAGAAAGTTTCGGGCCAATAGTTAAAAATACGGCTATTATAAATCGTTTAAGTTCGACAGTATTTCAGAATAAGCGACAGCAATGTTTCTTATTGGAGTTTTATGGAATTAGGAATAATATCAATTACGTGTTTGAGTTTGTATGTGTTAAGCCGCGTTATAGAGCTAGTTACAAGACGGCGGCGTGTAGTTTGCACTTACGGATTTCCGTTATATACAGAAAAATGAAAAATATTTACCTACAATTTTTTTTATTGATTCGGACTCGATATCGATAGCCGAGTTACCTCCTAGAAAATGACGCGGCTTTAACACAACACCTTGTATATATATATATATATAATATATATACTAGTTTTTCAAGTTGAACGAGATTTTGTAAGGGTTTTTATACTTTGGCTAAGATCGATGTGAAGTTTTTGTAAATAGAGGTAAGGCTACATCTGTCTGGAGCAAATAGCAGTTTGTGCGCTTGTATAGTTGTGTCATCATTCAGAACTGTCAGTAAATAGAGTGAGATAGAAATTGTAACCGCACACAGTGGAATTATACACACCAACCAAATTAAAGATGACGATTTATTTACTTTATAAAAAAGAGGACTAGAAATTATTAACTACTTTTTTGTATTTTAGCTCCGATCCCGAATCACTCATTCTCTTATGGACGCGAAATTTAAAATAGAATGGTACATATACTTCAACTGCCTCGTTGGCCGAGTGGTCGCAAGTGCGACTGCCGGGCAAGGGGTCTCGGGTTCGATTTCCGGGTCGGGCAAATTATTACTGGGTTTTTAAAAAATTCTCAGTAGTAGCACGGAGTCTGGAATTGTGCCCGGTATATGGCAATAGGCTCACCCCTATTACATGGGACTCATAACATAAATAGTGAAAAATGGGTGTTACATTGTACAGTGGCATAATGTGCACCTCTGCCTACCCCTTCGGGGATAAAAGGCGTGATGTTATGTTGTTGTTGTTATATACTTCAAATGGGTCAATCAAAAACACCATCGAGTTGCAGGTTGAGTATAGCTATTGTAGAAACACATGGTTTGTTTACAAAACATTTCACATTGATCTTAGTCGAAGTATAATTTAGCATACTTACATAATATAACATATTTATAGTACCTACAATAAAAATTGTAAATAAATTAGCTATCCCGACGAATTTGTTACAAATATATATTAATATCTTCGACTTTAGCTTCGTTCATTATTTTAGGAATTTTAGGAACACTATTTCATTGCTCCTTCGTCATTTTAACAAGTAATTCATCACTAAATAGTATAAAACAAAGTCGCTATCCGCCGTCTGACTATCCCTATGTATGCTTAGATCTTTAAAACTACACAACGGATTTTGATGCGGTTTTTTTAACCCCTCGAGCGTCCTTATGAGCACCCGGTAGATCATAAGAAAAAATTCTCCATGCTGCTTTCTCTTTTATAAAATCTATTATTAATGTTTTGTTTTTATTTTGACTGTATTTTTTATTTCTATTGTAATGATCCTTGTTTTCGTGTGCCAATGGCCAAATAAATGCATTTTCTTTCTTTCTCCAAATGTCACGTGTGCACCCGTTGGATCATAAGGAACGTGAAAGCTCGACGGGTTAATACATAAGAAAGGTTTATATGTATGATACATGCATATTGCACCCGTGCGAAGCCGGGGCGGGTCGCTAGTCGTAGTAATGTTATCATTATGTTGAACGGTTTCAATAAGCTCTATTCTGCCAATCATGCCATTTCGTTGGATATCCATAATGGAGGCAGTTGTGAAAAAAATAGATTATATTGTATGGTCATCAAGATTAAGAGTGTGTACCAAATATCAGATCGATCTGGCATCATCAAGGGGTAAAATTCCATTTACTTTTGACCTAAACAAACAAACGGGCAAGCTATTTAAAATTGTTTAATAAAATGGCCGACATAGATAAAGGTATATAATATTTACTATAGTATTTGAAAACAGCAACGAATTTAATTCTATATATTGCGTGTTATATATATTTATATAGTTTTTGAAAAACTCGAATAATGGCATAAAATATATCTCGGTATATGGCATTAGGTTCACCCGTATAACTTTAAGTGTCTTTTGAAATATAAAAAATAGCAAAGATGCATGCATGACATTAAATTTTTATTTAATAACTTAATTATTATGTTTTACCGCTTACTCACGTAATTATTTGACGAGGTATTCGACTAGTTTTAAACCATACTGGAGGCTCGTCAAATAATTATATGAGTAAGCCGAAAAGCATTATAATTAATTTGGTATGTCTCACGAAACTTATAATAGGGTAGTTTCCTAAATTTTATTTTAATTTCCGTCTGGTAGATTAGGTATTTTAAAACATCAGACACGTATTTTTTCTTTTCTGACAAAATTAAATGCTTTCGGCGATATATTGAATTGAAATGTTGTGTGACGTCACAGCGTGCTACAAAATGTAGCGCGTTGTGATGCAACCACCGCCCACTCCTAATCTTAACTCCATTTTATTTAAGTATTGTAACTTTATAAGACAAAATAAAAAAATATGTGTCTAATATTTTTTCATTATCTAACTGACGGACTAATTAGATTTTTAATTATCTTATCCTGGAAACTACCCTATTGAATGGTATTATATTTGAATTCACATAAATAACAATAATGTGTTAGTAGTTTGAATTTTGAATAGTGTATTCACTTTGCTTGGAACAATATTATGTTGACGCCATTTTGCATGCCTCAAGGCTCGTACACAAAACTACGATGCGATGCGATGCGAATTCGCAACGCAGAAAATTACGACACGAATTGCTGCGATGCGATTTTGTGCGACAAGGCTGAACATTCCTTCGACGACCGTCAACCGTACTAAACGTATTTTAAATTTCAAAACTAGGTCGTGTCATGAATCGTGAAAAGAATTGTGCACTTCTGTTATTGCTTAGGAGATACAGGAAAAATAAACAAAGAAGATTTTGATGCGCGATGCGAATCAATTCGCAAGTTCTTGCGATGCGTAGAGGGAGCTCGCACATTTTTATGATGGGACGTCGCATCGCAGTTTTTTGTACCACCCCTTTAGGCGTAGTATGGTCGGAACTGTACTTTTCTGCTAACAACTTCATGTAAGTAGTATACCCATATTAGCAAATAAATGATTTGAAATAAAATATCGCTTTATGTAAGTGACATTATACGATAATTATTTTTCATGTCTTATAATCTGTGACAAAAGCTTTATTCGCTTGATCTAAGTACCTAGTTGCTTTTACTTTTGATCAAAATCAAAAAAATTGTGCATTCTAATACTTTTCAGTATCTAAATGATAAGCTAAATGGACATACCCTGCCAAAATTATATGCCAAATAAATTTTTAAAGTAGTGCCAAGCTTATGTTGGCCAAAAAGGCGTTATACTAAAATCTTTAATTATTTTGTTATAGTATGTTTGGTTCTAGATAGACGGACCGCATATCAACTGTAATCCAACCGCAAATTGCAGTCCGGATGCAGTTTGAATGCAATCATGTCACGACTGCAATAATTGAATTGTAAACTAAAAGAGCAGTCCGATTACAGTTCTATTGCAGTCATGACCAAACGTTTGCAAACCAAACGTGCAGTCCGATTGCAGTTCTATTGCACTCATTTTTGACTGCACGGTTGGTGCGGTGGCTGGGCAACCGGCTGCCGTGCAACCAGTCGCGGCTTCGATTCCCGCACGGAACAACACTTTGTGTGATCCACAAATTTTTGTTCCGGGTCTGGGTGTCATGTCTATGTGAATTTGTATGTTTGTAAACGCACCCACGACACAGGAGAAAATCCTAGTGTACGGCAAAGTTTCTTAAAAAAAAAAACAACCAAACTTTTGCAAACCAAACGAGCAGTCCAATTGCAGTTCTATTGCAATCGTATCAACTGCGTTTAAACTACATCCGAACTGCAATTTACAGTTGGATTGCAGTTAAAATGCAGTTCGCCTGTTTAGAGACTTTGGTATGTGGT